GAAGCCTCGGGCCGCGAGACACGCGGCTGGAGGTTCAGCTGGTGTGCGGCGTAGCGAACCGCGTAGGGCCACAGAAAATGGGGCGCACGGGCATGGATCATGGACGTGCAAGCAATGTCCATGACCAAGCCAATGCGGCGCTCAGCAACCCCATTCTGCTGTGGGGACTCCGGAAGCGTCCAGGACTGTACGATGCCCTGTTCGCCGCAGAATCCGCCAAGAATGCCGGAGCAAAACTCGCCCCCATGGTCGGAGTGTAGACAACTGACACGACGACCACGAGCGCCCTCAGTAGCCAGAAGCCACCGGATCAGCGTAGAAGTCACCTCGGACTTCTTCGCGAGAGGGAACACTGTGGTGTACCTGGAGAAGTCGTCAACGACCACCAGAAAGTAACGCTCCCTCCTAAATCCCTGCGTCGGGGCAGAGCCCGAGACGTCCAAGTAGAGAGTCTCGAAGGGAGCAGTGGCCGGACGAAGGAAGGAGGAGTGGGGAGTGGCGCGTAAGCGACCGGCGACGCAAGGAGTGCAAGGGGGAGCAGGGGAGGTAGGGAGCGACGTAAAGGTGCGCGGGAGACCGGTGACAAGCCCGTGAGTGGTCATGCCGCGGAGGCGGGGGATCGACGGGTGGCCAAGGCGGTGGTGCCACAAGACGGTCCGGTGGGTGAGGGACCGACAGGAGCAGGACGCAGCAACTGGACTGGACAACGCGACCTGACTAGACACTGCAACTGGACTAGACACGACCACCTGGCTAGACACAGCAACCGGACTGGACACCTGGACTGGAGGGGACGCAACGACCTGAGCGGAGGACGCAACGGGGGAGCGCTCGGTGTGGAGAACGTAGAGACCGGAGCGGGGCTCCCTGGTGAACGTGGCCAGAACAGCACCTGTGGCAGCGCTGTACAGACCGCAGTCCTCCCACTCCCCACAAAGGTAACCGTGATCCCCCTGTCCTGGAGGTATCCAACACCCACCAAGTTCCGAGTGAACGAGGGGATGTGGAGGCCGCGCAGGACACCAGAGGGGACCACAGTACACGGGAGGGTAGTGGAGCTACGCGCAACGGCTGGTCCGGAGGTAGGATCAGCCAGAGCTACCGAAACAGGAGTGAGGAGTGGGGTGAGGGTCGTGTGGTCGCGGAAGAAGCACGGAGACGCGCCAGAGTCCAGCGTGAAGGACAGGGACGCCTCAGCCGAAGGGTCATCTGTCCTAGTGGCTACACAAGCACCTAGAGCAGCAACACAAGCACCTAGACTAGAAAGGCACAAGTCTACACTAGCAGGAGGCAAGCAAGCTAATCTACGAACACGCGAGCACACAGATCCATCAGCACTATAGTCAACATCAGCATACAAAGCATGCTGGCGAGCATCGTCCATAGACAAATCAAACACATCAATCTTACAGGCTAACAGGAGAGCCCAGCGAGGCGTGGTCGCCGCAGGGCCCCAACGAGCACGGTAGAGGTCGTCGAGGCGGCGGAAGCACCGCGCGGCAGAGTGGTCGTCGCGACCGCGGAGACAGGGGCTACCCGGTCCGGTGAGGCACCAGTGGGTGCAGGGGCCAGTGTCATGGCGAGGGGGGCGAGGGGCCCAGCTGGAAGTACTGCTGCTGCGGCCGGTGCTCCCTGGTCCTCTCGGACCCCACTGTGGCGGGGGACCCCAGTGCTGCTGCGGACACAACTGCAGCGGGGGCCCCCACTGCTGGAACTGCTGCAGTGCCTGCTGCTGCTGCGGTCTCTGCTGCTGCTGCTGTCCCTGCTGTGGCTGGTGCTGCTGCTGAGGCTGCTGCTGCTGGGGTCCAACACCCCCACTGATCGGGCCACCGCCAGTGGGCGGGCCTGTCTGTCCTGCACCTCCTCCAAGGCCCCCTCCTCCTGGTGCACCACCGCCGCCGCCTCCGCCACCGCCGCCTCCACCACCGCCGCTCCCACCTCCACCGCCACCTCCACCGCCTCCACCTCCCCCCTTCCCGCCCTTCTTGCCACTCTTGCCCCGTTTCTGCCAGTCTGCGGCAGAAACGGCAGCAGTGTCGTCAGAAACCGACACAGCAGCAGAAGCGCGGGTAGCAGTGAAAGTGGGGAGCTGAGGGGCGGCACACCCCGCAAAGAGACGGGGGGCCACCGCGTCAGTGGCGGAGGCAACGGTGAGGAGGCTACTCTCGATCGTCCCGAGAGTGGTCTCAAGGAGATCGATAGTGAGCTCAGTGGGGTGCTTCTGGAAAAGCGCGCCGCGAGCAGTGGCAAGGCGGTCAGGGAGGCGGGTGACTAACCAGTGCACAGTGAGCCACATGGGGGGGGGAGCAGCAAGAAGCTGGGCGTCGGTACAGGCCGCACGGAAACCGGCGTCAAGTGAGCGGAGGTGAGTCACTAGGTTGGACACAGTCGCGAACGAGCCTAGGTCGGGAAACACGAACGTCATGAGGAGGCGACTGAGGGAGGCAGAGGAAGGGGTGGAATAGCGTGCAAGAATAGCATCCCAAACCCCCTGCGCTGTCTCCACCTTGTCAAAGTGGGCGGCCTCAGTCGGGGGGAGGAGCTCCGTCAGCGAAAGAGCGGCGGCAGCGTAGCGCGAGTTCCACACGTCCCTGGCTAGGACCCGACGGTCGTAGTCCGCCTGGGCGACAAGAGTCGGCTCCGAGCCGGTCGGTAGGGGGGCGGGGGACTAGGGCGCCTTGAGGGCACCAGACGCGTGGGCCCACAGGGTGGCGCCGTCCTGACGCTGACTGGTGAGAAAGCGCGTGGTCTGGCGCTGCCAGGTACCGAACTCGATCGGGCGTCTCTCCGCATCGAAACGAAGGCGACGGGATTCCATAACGGAGGCCATGCTAGAGGCGACTGGAGCACGGCGGAGGCGGATCTAAGAAAGAGGAGGGAATCCTAGGAGCGCCAAGTGTGGCGTGGTGTGAGACCGGCGGAGCTAGAGGCTAGGAGCGCGGGGTGACCTAGGCTAGGCGTGAAGCGGCGGAACTCCAGATACAGGCGCTAGGGGCGAGGAACTAGCGGCTACACTGCTCTAACCTATGCGGCCCGCGAGAGAAAGCGGCTGCCAGCCGCTGAGTGAGAAACCAATGGCAATAGAACCGGGGAGGGCCCAGCGCACAGGGCAGTGGCGGGGCTAGGGCGCGTGCCAAGTGCGGGCAGGTGCGCGCTAACGCGGAGGCGCGGGCGGAGGCGTGGGCTAGGGCACGGGTGCGGAGGGCGCGGGACGAGAAGGAGGGGCGGGGAGGAGGGCGCGCTACGGTGGGGGAGGACGCACAACGGTGGGGAGGGGCGAGGAGGAGGGCGCGCGACGGTGGGAGGGGCGCGCGAAGGTGGGGAGGGGCGGTGGGCGCGTCTGGCGCGGAGGTCGCGGATGGCGCGGAGGGCGCGGAGGCACGGAGGGCTAGGCGCGGAGGGAGGGGTCGCGCGTGTCGGGCTGGCCTAGGGGCGCACGTCGGGCTGGCCTAGGGCGCGCGCGACGGGCTGGCCTAGGGCGCGCGCGACGGGCTGGCCTAGGCGCACGCGACGGGCTGGCCTAGGGCGCGCGCTACGGGCTGGCCTAGGTGCGTGCGACGGGCAGGCCGAGGGGCGCGCGACGGGCTAAGGAGGGCGCGCACGTGAGGGGGGGGAGGGCGCGGGCTACGCGCGGAGGGTGCGGAGGCGCTGAGGGCGCGGAGGGTGCGGACGGCACGGAGGGCGCTAGGGCGCGGAGGGCGCTAGGGCGCGATCGGGGCTAGGCTAGGCGAGGATCTACCTACTCATGATACCATCTCAAGAACGGAGTGCAGCGAAATGGATGAACTAGCAAAGTGTTGGATACAAAGAGGAAACCCTAGCATCTGTACCCTCTAGAATGCAACTCACTACAGCCTATAACTATTATATTTGACAATTATATACACTACACATTCGAAACCAGACTCTTGGCTCGACATTGCTCGTACACCATTAGAAACAAAAACTGCAATCAGAACATAGTGTTTTCTATCACACGGCCAACTGCACCCCAAAAGAAACAAGCATTCAAACTACTAGAAGCTCGAGTTGCGCAATAACATTTGAGGCGTCTAGCACGAACAAACTGCTAGAAAGGCATAGTGCCGTCGTAGCGGAAGCCTTGATTGTAGAAGAGAATAGCAAGAGAACTTTGCAACTGAATGGATTCAGAACAATGGAATTGATTGATGCACTGGAATGACAGAGCAGGGTATTTATGTCTGCAGCTAACCCCCTCAGAATGGCCCTATCCACACCAATAATACCACACCAATAATTATACCCGCCAATAATTCTTACCCTCCAATAATTCTAGGCTCCAATAATTCTGGCCCTCCAATAATTGTACAATTATTGGAGGGCTAGGAGTCTTATAAAGGAACACTACAGTCAAATTTAACAGCATTTGTATTATCTTATGTTTGTATATTTAATACAAACGCCTCAGAAATCCAAGGTTATCGTAAAACGGGCAGCAGGGAAGTAAATCCTAGCTGCAATCCACCTCTTCTTTCACTGCTCTCCTACCCCTAATCAACCCAGCATTAACTTCCAAGTCAACTCCTCATACCGTAAGTCACCTAATCAGCATCCCCCACCCAATGCTCCCATCTCCCTGCTTGAAGGTACTCCCACACACACAGCCCTCCACCCCAACACATGCCTGCTATGCCCCCTCCTCCACCCTTGTTCCTAATCAGCATCGCCCAGCCCATCACTCCCCGTCACCCCGCGTGCGAACCACAGCATAGCCATACGATGCAGGGCCAGCCTTGCCGCCCTCCCCTGCTTCCCCATCCACCGTCAACCCAGCGGTAACTTGTGAGCCGACTCAACAGTCGCCTAATCAGCATCGCCCAGCCCGTCGCTCCCATCTCAGCCTAATCAGCCTAATTGCGAATCACTGCATAGCATAGCCCTGCACCGTGGCACCAGTCCTGCCGCCCTTCCCTGCTCCTCCACTCCCCATCAACCAAAGCTACTGGAACCTTCCGAATCGACTCCTCAACAACGGTCGCCTAATCAGCATCGCCCAGCCCATCGCTCCCATCTCCCCGCTTGCGAATCACAGCATAGCCCTGCACCGTGGGACCAGCCTTGCCGCCCTTCCCGGCTCCTCCTTTCCCTCCTGCTCCAGTCAGCTCGGCGTTGCGGCGAAGGACAGCACCGGGGGAGGGGTAGGGGCGCTGCTGAAACAATGGACCCTGGTGTGTGGTGAAGGGGGGGTAAGGTGGGGAGGAGTCAAGGGAGGGAGTGGTGGAAAAGGGGTGAAGGAAGGGGAGAAGGAAGAGGTATGACGGGTGGGTTGACTCTTGACATATGGCATTTCAGAACTAGATCGGAAGGCACGGTCGGAAGATGCCAGAGAGTGAACCCAACTGTCACACCACAATTTCCGGGTCGAAAGAATGGCAGAGCTGAATGTGTTTGTGTCACATCAGTTTTATGCGGCCTTCTTGAGAAGTGTGACAGGCAGGGGGCAGGCAGGACGCAAGGGTCAGGAGGCAAGGGGCGGGAGGCTCAGAAGCAACAAGAGCTCTGAAACACTACCAACAAGAGGTACGACTGAAGGCATACGTACCGTTGCAGTGGTGTCTGCTGCTCGCGGTTGCAGGCCCTTGAGCCCCACCGCCCTAGCGGTTGGGTAGCAATGGGAAGGAGGGAGGGTTTCGAGAGAGAGAGGGAGGGAGACTCGTGCGTGACACAAGGAGGGGATGCTCCCATGAATCAGACCCTCTCACTGACCAGAATTTGAATTCGAAACCTCAACCGCGAAAACAATCTGACCAGTGAGACGTGGCACGTAAACTATCCAAACAAAACCAAGACAAATGTCGAGAGAATGAGCCCCCTGGACTCACCATCCGCCCCGGGGGGCATCCGAATACGAAGACGGGTCCATGGGATCAATATCGTCCTTCTCGTCTCCTCCTGCTGACCGAACCAAGCTGACGACAAGAATCCTGACTGCATGAGTTCCGCTACTTGACTCACCATCCGCCCCGGGGGGCATCCGAATATGAAGATGGGTCCATGGGATCAATATCGTCCTTGTCGTCTCCTCCTCCCCCTCCTCCTGACGCTGCTCCTGCTGCAGCTCGTTTCCGCTGCACCTTGCGCGTTGCTGGGTGCGCACCGGGCCTGGGCACGCCGCCGAGCCTGGATACAGGTTCGGGAACGGGCAATACGGAAGGGTCAAGGAGAAGGGTCGGCTGTGACAGTCTGCAAGGTAATCCCCAGGCAAAATGATAACAGATTTGTGGGCCTGCTCACTGATAGGTGAGTCAAAAGCAGGACCCATACCATACCTGTACCCATGCTAACCTTTGAGGCGCCTCAAAAGGCCTGCTCACAGACAGGTGAGTCCAAAGCAGGGCCCATACCTGTACCCATGCCAAGCGCTTCTCTTCTCTTGTCGGGCATGGGCATGGGCATGGGCATGGGCATGTGCATGTGCATGTGCATGGGCACAGGTATGGGCATGGACATGGGCTCAGGCATGAGCAGAAGCAGAAGCAAGAGCATAAACGCTCGTACACACCTGCTCTTTGGTTCTGCTCTCGGCCCTCCCCCAGCCTCCCTTTCACTCCCTAGCCCTTCCTCTGCCCCGCCTGCTGCAGCTGCTGCTGCTGCTGCTGCTGCTCCAGTTGCTTTCTTGGAAGCACCGGGAGGCACCACTATACCTAGCTCCCTGGGGGTGGAGAACAGGAAAGAGAAACAAAAACGGGAAGGGATACAAAAGAGAACTGTGGCGTAGGGGAAAAAAGCAGCAAACCGCACCAAAAAAAAACAAAAACAAAAAACAAAAAACCAACAACAACAACAACAACCAGGTGTAGGGTTGTTGTAGCAAGGTAAGGAGGGGAGTGGTGATCGAATCGAACCTGGTGCAGTGGTTGCAATAACCCCACGATTGCACCAACGCTCGGCCCCACCCCTGGCAGCCTGCACACCGCTTGAACTTAACCGCACCACTGCCACCAGCAGCACCACTGCTACTGTCATTCCCATTTGCCTCCCCACCCCCTCCTCCGGCTCCTCCTGAGCCTGCGTTCTGTGCCTTGGGCCGTTCCCAGCTGGTCTCGTTGGTGGTGGAGTTATAGAAGTACTTGTGGCCTGGTGGTGAGCAGCAGGAGAGAGGACAAGGGGGAGAAAGGGGAGTGGGGAAAGGGATTCTGAGGCGCCTGAATATGAGTGCTTGTTGTTCCCAGCTGGTCTCATTGGTGGTGGAGTTATAAAAGTACTTATGGCCTGGTGGTGAGGTGAGGTGAGGAGTGGGAGATTGAACAAGAGGGAAGTGGGGCGGACAAGAGGGAGGGAGGGAGGGGGCGGGGAAAGGGATTTAATGCCACTGCCAATGCCACTGCCAATGCCACTGCCAATGCCACTGCCAATGCAATTGCCTCCTCCCACCCAGGGAATAGCAGTGCGAGCAACCCATGCCAAGCCAACTTCCCTCCACCCCTCTATTTCCCCTTCCCTTCCCTTCCCTCCCTCCCTCTCATCCCTCCCTCCCATCCCAATCCTCCCTCCATCCCTCCCTCCCATACCTCCCTCCCATCTCTCCCTCCCATCCCAATCCTCCCTCCATCCCTCCCTCCCATACCTCCCTCCCATCTCTCCCTCCCATCCCTCCCTCCCATCTCTCCCTCCGTACCTGATTCAGCATCCACAGCCTCCTCCCACCCAGGGGGCAGAGGCGTGAGCAGCCCATGCCATGCCAACTTCGCTCAAACCCTCTATCCCTCCCTCCCTCCAATTCCCCTTCCCTCCCATCCCTCCATTTCCACTTCCCCCCTCTCTCTCCGTACCTGATTCAGCATCCACAGCCTCCTCCCACCCAGGGGGCAGAGGCGTGAGCAGCCCATGCCATGCCAACTTCCCTCAAACCCTCTATCCCTCCCTCCCTCCAATTCCCCTTCCCTCCCATCCCTCCATTTCCACTTCCCCCCTCTCTCTCCGTACCTGATTCAGCATCCACAGCCTCCTCCCACCCAGGGGGCAGAGGTGTGAGCAACCCATGCCATGCCAACTTCCCTCAAACCCTCTATCCCTCCCTCCCTCCAATTCCCCTTCCCTCCCATCTCGCCCTCCTCACCTGATTCGGCATCCACAGCCTCCTCCCACCCAGGGGGCAGCGGGGTGAGCAACCCATGCCATGCCAACTACCCTCCAACCCTCTATCTACACTCCCCATCCCCCTCTACCACTGTGTTTCCCTCCCATCTCTCCCTCCCCCCCTCCGCACCTGATTCAGCATCCACAGCCTCCTCCCACCCAGGGGGCAGCGGAGTGAGCACGGGCGGGGGAGGCGGGGGCGGGATGGGTCTCTTGGGCGCGGTAACCGGTGGGTCCCACTGGCTCATGCCCGTGTGCTCGTTGAAATAGTACTTCACGCCTGTTGCCCCGTCCACGCCCTCGTACTGATGGTGGGCGGGGTTGGGATGGAAGGCAAGACGGGTCGATCTGAATTTCTATTCCTGGGGACCTGGGTGTGGTAACCGGCGGGTCCCACTGGCTCACGCCCGTGTGCTCGTTGAAATAGTACTTCCCGCCTGTTGCCTCATCCACCCCCTTGTACTGCCAGTGGTGGTAGTGGTGGGGATTGGATGGGGGGCAGGAAAGGGGGTTCGGATGGGAAAGAAAGAGGGCGATGGTCTCCCCCGACACTAAGAGAACAGCGAAAATACTTTTGAGTTGACTCGAAAGTCATCTCATCTCCAGATGGTCCCCCCGGTCTGAGAGATATGTGAAAATACCTCAGCCAGAAAGAAACCTAGCAGCTTACCCAGCCAGGAGGAAGAGAGGAAGTGGGAGCGGAGGCAGCAGCCGTAGCAGAGCTGGCTCCTGCAGCGTTGCTATTACCACCCGTTGCCGTACCCCCTCCCGCATGGTTCTTCGCAGCACCCCCACCCCCACCCTCCTTGAGAATGCCTCGAGCTCGCAGCCGCTCCCGCAACGCTGCTGGTAGTGCTGACACCCCCCCTCCCCCGCCCCCGCCCCCTTCTTCTCCTCCTCCATCTCCCCCACCTCCCTCGTTCCCTGTTCTTGCCGCTGCTGCTGGTGATGTTGGTGGGCCCATCTTCCCTTCCCCATCACCTGGTCCTTTTTCTACTGCTCCTGGCACATTTCCAGCCCCTTGCTGCTGGTGCTCTTGATGCTGCTGCTGCTGCTGCTGTTGCTGGTGATGTGCCCCCTGCTGCTCCTGTTGCTGCTGTTGCTGCTGGTCTGAACGCTGTCCGCGTCTCGGGTGACTGAAGTCAGGTTCAGGGACAAGCGAGAACATGGGGTGGCGGGCAGCGTGAGGAGGAGGCATGGAGGCGCTCCCACCAGGCACGCCATACCCGTTGCCTATATCCATATGCTCCTCATGCTGCTGCTGCTGCTGCTGCTGCTGCCACTGTCCCTGCTGCCCCTGCTGCCCCTGCTGGTGGTGCTGCTGCTGGTGCTGCTGCTGGTGCTGCTCGTGCTGGTGATGCTGGTGGTGATGCTGCTCGTGGTGGTGTTGGTGGTCTGAGCCGCCTCTCTCTCGCCTTGCTGCCACCTCTGCTCGGTGCTCTGCTGTCATCTGTAGCAGCTTGCCCTGATACCATGGAACATGCAAGCACATGCACACGCACACGCACAGGCACAGGCACAGGCACAGGCACAGGCACAGGCATTGGCACAGGCACAGGCACACGCACACGCACAAACACATGCAAGCACATGAACATGCACACGCACAAACACATGCAAGCACATGAACATGCACATGCATATGCACATGCCCATACCAGGGGCCAGGCCAGACCATGCCATGCCATGCCATGCCATGCCATGGAGCATTGGGACACAACGACAAGGTGCCAACACCAAAGCGCACGCACTTGAATGGTACTAGTAAAAGACCCTGCTGTCTACAAAGGTACAAGTAGCAAATTGGAAAAGGAAGTGGGGAGAGCGAGAGGAGGGGTTGGTGAGGAGAGCAAGTGGGGGGGGGCAGTGCGGGAGAGCGAGTGGGGGAGAGCGAGTGGGGGAGAGCGAGTGGGGGAGAGCGAGTGGGGGAGCACAAGTGCGGGAGCGCGAGTGGGGGAGAGTGAGTGGGGAAGAGTGAGTGGTTGAGAGCGAGTGGGGGAGAGCGAGCGCGGAGAGCGAGTGGGGCCGGGCCGAGCGGGTACCTTGAGGGCGTTGGGGTCGTGGCGAGAGTTGAGCAGCGACTGGGGGTCAGCTGATGTGTCCATGTCCCCCGATGCTGCCTGGCTGCTCGCACGAGCGTGTGGGCAGGCAGGGGGATAGAATGAGAGAAAGAGGGAGAAAGGCCGAGAGAACACTGCCTTATGAGAGTAAGTATAATTGCAAGCTCACAAGCGCAGCGCATGTGTGGGCAGGAGACGAGAACCCTAAAGCCATTGCCTCTTCCAGAGCAACTATATTCCCCTCCCTGGGAGGGGAACAACTAAAAGGCATGTTGGTGAGCGACTGTAGGCGCCCAGATAAGGGGAACTGCTTGACAAACGAGTTGAGCAATCTAGCAATCTAGCAGCATGGCAATCAAACAACGCGCATGTAGCAAGAACCTGGCACGAGATAGGGAACAGTAAGAGGGCTTATGAGGCGCCTCAAAAGCAGTCAGAGGACCCTGTCTCACCTCGCCCCACGAGCCAGAGCTGCTTGCGCCGCCTCTTCCTACCCTTGGGCAAGAGAGGGGGGCAGAGATGTATGGGCGGACGGATGGATGGATGGTTGGAGGGATGGGGGGATGGGAGGGATGGATAAGGAAGATGAGGAAGAAGGGAGGCGGATACCAGGAGAAAGAGGAGAGCGAGGGAGTAGAGAGCATGGATGGAGGATAGGATAGGGGAAGGTACAGAATAGCTTGCAATGCCATGCCCAACCTAACCAAGTGACTACCTGGCAACCGTAGCTGCCCATACGTTTCCATACCTACTCTTTCTTCTGTCCCCTTCCCCCCTGACTCGCCCGCACTTCTATCCCCTCCTCCCTTCTCACCTTCACCCCCCACGCACATCCCGTCCTTCCCCTCCCGGGCTCCCCCCTTCCCCTTTCCTGCACCCCCCTCCTTCCCTGCTTCCGTTTCCCCCACTCACTGTCCTCGATTTCTCCTCACACTCACTCGCTCACGCTCACGCTCACGCTCACGCCTTCAAACTTAACCCTCTCCACCCCTGCAACCAGCCCACCTGGTCTTTCAATACAGCGAACTGAACGGCCTCCTCTAGCCCTCCCCTCCCCGCACTCCCCATCCCCTCGCTCCCCCACTGTCCACGTGCCACGCCTCCATTGGCTCCAGCAGCACCTCCTGCCTCCGCGAGGCCCCTCCCGCGCTCTTTCCCCCCGCCTTCCCCTCCTTCCCCGCCTCCCCCGCCTTCCCCCCTTTCCCCCGCTCCCTCCCCTCTCCCACCCGCTTTACCCTCCGCCCTGGCAGCCGCATCTATATCCCAGCGGGATTTCTTCCGCTTGTTCCCGCCTTCCCCCTCCCCCTCCGCGTTCTCCCCGCGCGCCCCCGCGCCTCCGCCTCCCCCTGCGCCATCGCCCACCACCACCGCGACGACCACCCCCGTCCCCGGACCTAGGGTTGCCCCGCTTGAGCCTCCAACCCCGCCGCTGCTGCTCCTCCCCAGGATACCCGCACCCCCCCCCTGTTGCTGCTGCTGCTGCTGCTGCGGCTGCTGCTGATGATGATGCTCCTGCTGTTGTTGCTGCTGCTGCGGCGGCGGGTGTTGTTGCTGCCCGTGCGCCATTTGCGGTTGCATTTGCGGCGGAAACTGCGGCCGCATCTGCTGCGGGGGGAACTGCGGAGGAAACCCTCCCCCAGGCGCGCCTGCCTGCGGGGGAGGTCCGCCTGCGAACGGCGCACCAGGGGGACCCGGGGGAGGCCCGGGGGGACCGGGGAGAGGCCCGGGGGGCCCGGGGGGACCGCCCCCCGGGAAACCCTGCGCGCCAGGGGGGAGATGCATCGGCGGAAAGCCTGGGCGCACCATCATTGGCCCCCCCATGGGCCCTCGCGGAGGCATTACCCCCGGAGGTCCCGAGCCGTGGGGACCCAAACCAGGAGGACCGGAACCAGGTCCGGGAATAGGTCCGGAATGAGGTCCGGGATGAGGTCCGGCACCGGGTCCCAGCATCGGCCGTGGTGGGCCCCCCCCCGGTCTGGGCGGCGGCGGAGGCGGCTGAAGATGCGGAGGCGCAATGGGCACGGGCATTCCGCCGGGGAAGGGGCCTGGGCGCGCGGGGGGACCCCGCGCAAAGGGTGGCGCGCCGGGGTTCGGCGGAAAGCCGTGTGGGCGATGCGGGGAGAACTGGGGAGCGGGGGATTGCGGGGGAGGACCCGCGCCGGGAGGTCCGGGGGGGGTTTCGGGACGTGCGCCTATAGCTGAAGGGGGGCCATTGCCTCCCGCCGACTTCATCCCTGCACGATAATGAAGGAGCGGGAAACACGGGCAGTTGCGAGAAGGCATGGAAAAGCATGACAAGGGTTGCATGGCATGTCTAAAGGAGGCATGCCGTAAAAATGAGATTAAAGAAATGAGAGCGAACCGATTACTTTGTCCATTTCTTTTCTAGCTCGTCTCTTTTGCTACCTGGTCCAGAAGCGAACGGCAATGAAAAAAGAAAGGACGATGAGGAAGTATAATTCCAAGGCGACGCGAAAAAAAAAACCGGGAGAAAGGACCAGGAGAACGAAAGGATGTGAGGAAGGAAGATGCTTACAGGCGGGGAGAGTCATTTCGCGACCCCTCCCACGACCCGCCATGGCTAATCAACTACTTAACCCCGCGACGCTTTCTTTTCCCTATTATCTTGTAAGACCTAAAGCGCATCGGCGAGCTGTAAGCTAAGATCCGTCATGAAAAGTTGACGTTAGGAGACTGTGATACCTCAGCTTGTACGCGTTGGATACTTCTGGAAAGACTGATCAAAACCCTTACATACCACTACACCGTTCCGACAGATACCCAGACTCTAAAAATACAAATATATTATTGTTGCAACCACATCATATCAATAAACACGTCAGGCTGCATCAGATTTATTAATATTTGAAAATAGTTCCTTCAGCACAAAATTCCGAATCTACTATTACTTTACTGAACACCACATCAATGGTGGCTTTCTTGTACCGTACCAAAATCTCCCTCTACATTTATCAGACCTGCTTGTTGTGGAAGCGCTAGACTGGCCGAGTCAGCATGATGCTGGTTCGTTTGGTGTAAACTAGGCAAGTGGCACGTCCCCTTACCATAGAGGCTCGGCATTTCTGTTTCTACCTGCAGAGCACTCAGCAATACTTAGCGATTAATTAACTCAATTCTCATACAGCACCCGACATGCAACCGCAAGCTGTCTCTCACTTAAGTATCATGAAAATCACTGCCACCCAAACTCGCTCCTTCGGCACCCCGAGCCTCTTCCCATACCACCCTCGCCAAGGACGAGCCGCGACTACAAGAACTGCCTGGGCTACCAGAGCAGGTTTACGGCACAGATTTTGTTCGACAAACAGCAAGTTCAAATCTAACCATCCAAATGCAACCATGCCCCTCCTTCACCAAATGTGCTTGCCGTGTCGGGTCGTGTTCTATTGTGCGCCTCGCACTTGCGCCATCCGAGCCATTTTCTCTCTTCTTCGTCGTGCGTTTGTGGTCCTCATGGGACGCAAGAGGAAAGCTTGCAGCATGCGGCAACCAGCACCTCTACCGACCCCTTCAGCCACCTTCCATTCCTTCGCGTAACTGGAAGCTGGATAGGCTAGCTTCTTTTCCTAACCTCTCAGTGAGCCTTACCTTGAGTTATTGCAGTCTAGGAATCAGGCAGTCTTGTACTCCGGGCAGTGGCATCGCTAACTGGCTTAACCATTTTTTTACATGGAGAATATATACTCTATGTCAAGTTTCACCATGGCCGAAGAGTATAGCGTCTCATAGTGGCGCCAGTCCATGCTCTGACTCCACCATGGGGCTTGTCGCTCCTCGCGTACGCGGCTCTAGTAACGTAGTCTCCGGCTCCTAACCCGCAGTCTCCACAGGCACATTTGCTGTTAACAGTGCTTACCCTCCACAGCCTGACCGTCGCGGGAGTCCGCGTCGCCGTTTAAACATTCTTATTTAACCGTAAAAAACAAGCCATTCCGCGGCTACGCCGGCCTTTGAGCCGCGCATCCCAGTCACTCACCTGAGCGTCCAACTCGGCTCTTGAAGCCCTTTCCGCCTCGCCGTCCGCCAGCCATGGTTAAGCTCTTATTCTTCGAGCTTCCGCTCGCAGTAGTCGTCGGCATAGCGGGAGCCGCGTTCTTTCTCGTCTCCTCCGTCATCTCATGCGTCATCTACCTCTCTTGTCTGCATCGCCGTCGCGACGGCCTTTCCAAGCGACCGCCGCTCCTTCCCGCGAAAGCTGGTTACATGAGACAGCCTTCGTCAACGGGAGTATCCTCCAGTCCGGGTACGTCCCCGCGAGTCAACAGCCTCGCCGCACCGAACAGCGCGTATCCCTCGCGCGGACCCCCTAGCCCGCATGTGAACGGCGCGTACCCGTCTCCGCGCCCGCAGCACTTAGCGCTTCCCCCGAGCAACACTCCGCCGCAGTTTACCCCGGATTACCGGCGCGCGCTCGCTCCGTATCAAGCTTCACCGGGCGCCGCAGGAGCCGCCGGCGGAGGCGCCGCAGGCAACGCTCCGGTGAAGCAAGAGTCTCCATCTCCGCGAAAGCAACCTCAGAAAAGCCCTTCCTGGGAGGATCAGCTTAAAGCGGGGTTGTTTCGGAAGATGACATTGGATGAAGTGCGCGATGCGACGGGATGGTTCAGTCCGCGCAATTTCATCGGCGAAGGAGGTTTCGCGGTGGTGTTCCGGGGAAAAGGGCCTGGGGACGTGGGTTGGGCGGTAAAACGGTCGAAGCGGCCGCTGGCGGAAGGATCTGCCGGCGCTCGGGATTTCGAGAAAGAGGTGTTTCTGATTTCGCGGCTTTCGCACAAGAGCCTCGTGCGACTGCTGGGTTACTGCATGGAGGGGGGCGAGTATATCCTCATTTACGAGCTCGCCGCTAACGGATCACTCGGTTCTGCTCTTTCCAAGTCTCGCCCGCACTTGACTTTCACCCAACGCTTAGACATCGCTATAGGAACAGCCGAGGCGCTGCATTACTTGCACACGGCTGTAAACCCCCCTATAGTGCACCGCGATATTAAGCCCGATAACATTCTTTTGGATCAGAACTTGAACGTAAAACTGGGCGATTTCGGCCTGCTGAAGAGTATGCTGGGAGCTGGGGACTCTGCTGGTGCAGCTACATCCGCTTTTACACGCGTGGCCGGTACACCCGGTTATCTGGACCCGGACTATCACCGAACATCGAAGGTGACTACTAAGGGGGATGTGTACAGTTTCGGTGTGGTGCTACTGGAACTGTTGACGGGGCAAAGGGCGATTATAAAGCTTCCCCAGAAAGGGGCTCAGGCGGGAGGCGGAACCCCTGCGAAGGGGAATGGCGCAGGGGCGAAAGAAGCTGCAGAGGGAGGGGGAGAAAAGGGAGGGGGAGGAAAGGGAGAGGGAGGAGAAGGCGGAGGGGAAGATGTCAAAGCAAGGAAGCAAGACGAGGCAGAAGAGAACAACAAAGCAGCGGCAGGGAAGAAGGGAGCACACGGATCAACCCCTGCTCCTGCACGAGACAATGCGGGCCCTGTGCATATCTCCCACTGGGTAGGGCCGTATGTGCAGGCGAGGGATGTAGCGGCTGTAGCGGACAGCCGACTAGGCTGCGACTACGATGCGCCAGCACTGCTGCGCGTGCTACAGGTGGCGCTACAGTGCGTGCGGCCCACGCGGGCACGGCCGGAAATGGCTGCTGTGCTGAGAGTGCTGGTAGATGCGAAGGAGCAGGCGGGTAAGGCGCGTGCGGAAGAGGGGTTGATGACCGTTGGAGAGGAGGAGGGGGAAGGGGACGAGGGCGGGGATGAGAACAGGAAGGCGGAGGGCATGGGGAGTGGTAAAGAAGGAGCAAAGGCTACTGCCACGCCTCCTGCCTCCGCCGCTGCTGCAAGAGCTGCTGCAAGGGCTGCTGCAAAGGCTGCTGCAAAGGCTTCTGCGACGCCTCCTGCTGCTGCTGCTGAAGGTGGCTTCGGTCCCGCTGGTGTTGCCCCTTCTGCTGATGGTAACTCAGTGCCAACTGCACCTGCAATCGCTGCAAGTGCACCTACCCCAGCTGCAGCCGACGCTGCAAGAGAAGCTCCGACTACTGCGCCAGGGTATCAAGTGGTGATCCCAGTGCATGGCCCCATGCAAGGGTCGGGTGCAACAGATGAGCTAAAGACAGCAAAGGGAAGTTTGGGGAATGAAGGCCAGGATGGCAAGCACGTGATTGTTGAAGTCCCTCCGATGCAGTTGTAATGTGGTGCTCTGGGTACCACAGTAGAGGTGGTTTAAGTTTAATAACTGTCGTGATTAGTAGGCTGTTTCACGCAGGTAGGCAGGTTTTTTTTTTTTTCTTCTAATCTCCCATCACTTCAGCTACCTACTAGTGTAGATCAGTGAGCTTGTGCAACAGTAATTGGTAAACGGGTTGGTTTTGCTTCACTGTGCTATTTTATTTATATTCTAAGGTCAAAAGGGAGGTAGCAAGAATATCCCACCTCACCTTATTGCCAACCTGTGCGCCACCGCCATCATGAGGCACTCTATACACAACAGACAACTCAGAGTTGTGGTTCTTCTGTACCATAACACTATTCCTTCCCTTGAGTGTTGCACCACGGGAGGAGCAGCATGCTGCAAGCTCCCTCTCGTATTTGTTGACATGCAACGAAGATATACCGTCTGCTTGGAGTGCAAGTAAAAAAATCATTATTAGATCCTTGTTATATGTTAGAAGAAGCCGTAATGACAAACGCGTCTGCTGGTGCCGGAAATGTTATAAAGAAGGTTGAGGTCGTCCATATGAGGTGAAAGTTTTGATTCTGATATGTCCTGAGCATAGCCATTTCGTCCGTTCGATCAAGAATATGACCTGCGTGATTGTGTGGATGCTGGGTCCCTATCTCCGGCCAACTTCATTGATACTCAAATTATGCCAGGAGCGTTTTGCGTTCGTACTCAACCGACAAATTCTCGGTATAGTACCTAGATAAACCGTATTTTCATGTTGTAAGCACAATTCTGAATCAAAGGCACCATCAGCTACTTTCCCGCACATAGCACTGAAAACAAAACAAGAAAAAAAACTAAAACCCTTATATAACCCGGACACACGCTGGGAAAATCAACTCTAAACACGCGAAGTCGTCCATTGTTTAGGGTTGATAATTTCCCAGGGTGCCTCCAGTTTCCCAATGAGTTTTATTAATTTTGCTGCAGAGCTTGCTCCCCGGCCGCCCCCACTTGCCACCGTTGTGGAGGAGGAAGAGGTAGATGAGGGGGAGGACGACAAGGACGCGCAGTTTCTCCCTAGTCGCCGACGACTTGCGGCGCGTCTGTTGGCGAACCAGGAGGCGGGGGGGGGTGGGATGGTGCAGGATGACGAGGTTAGTAGATACTTGTCCGAGAGGGTGCGGTTCGACGTGTCAGCGCTAGAGTACTGGCGCACCGCCACCAACATGCAGACGCTGAGGCGCATGGCACGGGATTATCTTGTCATCCCTGCCACGTCCGCTTCGAGCGAGCGGGTGTTCTCTCTTGGTCGCAACCTCATCTCCTGGAAGCGGCACCGCCTGGCCTCTCAGAGGACGCGAGCTGTCATGATTCTTAGATCATGGTACAGTTCACACCATGGACAGAGGATCGGCGAGGGCCGCCGACCGAGAGGAGCCGCACCACCAGAGTTCGCCATTGAGGGCGAGGGGGCGGAGGAGGGGGAGGGGGAGGGGGGAGGGGGAGGGGGAGGGGGAGGGGGAGGGGGAGGGGGAGGGGGAGGGGGAGGGGGAGGGGGAGGGGGAGGGGGAGGGGGAGGGGGAGGGGGAGGGGGAGGGGGAGGGGGAGGGGGAGGGGGAGGGGGAGGGGGAGGGGGAGGGGGAGGGGGAGGGGGAGGGGGAGGGGGAGGGGGAGGGGGGAGGGGGAGGGGGAGGGGGAGGGGGAGGGGGAGGGGGTGGAGGCAGACGCGGCAGGTGGAGAGGGGGCGGAGGATGCTGCTGTTGGTAGTAGCAGTGGTGCCATGGCGTAGGAATTCGTACGACTTTGACATTTACATACACAGTACATGATGTTGTAGTTGTTGGTGCGTTGCATGAACACATATACACCCTGCACCCCCTTTGCTATCATCCTGCACCCTCAAAAACGTATTCGGACAAGTGTGACTATAATGAATCCCCCCCTGGGCGAACACGAACATGTTCGCCTCGAACGTGTTCGTGTTCGCCTTCAGCAGCTAATAGTTCGCCCCCTAGGGCGAACGGCGAACACTGATTTTCAGTCAAGTAGTTCGCCGAACCGAACACTGTTCGAGTGGGGTTGAACACGAACCTGTTCGAGTTCGGCCCCTGCTCATCCCTACTTGCAGGTGTCGGGGGGCGTCTGGGAGGGAGGCAGTAAGAAGAGCTGAGGACTACCATAAGGGAGAGTATTGAGGAGGGGGGGAATCGGCCTTTACCAGGTATGCCCTTCCGCTCTTCCTCACTCCCTGTATTTCACTTTCCTCTGCAGTTTCTGTTCGCAACCTTTCCTCACCCCTCTCCACTCACTTGTTGCTCTTCTCCTCTATGCCTCCCCCGCCTCTCCCTGCAGCATCACCAGCCAGTCCGCCCCTGCAGCAGAGGCGCAGGCAGGCAGGCGAAGGGATGGCACTCCAGCCAGAGGGACAGCATGCGGGCTGCTCCCTGCTGCACAAGGTGAGTCGCTTCCCCTCTCTCTCTCTCATTCCCTCACCACCGTTGCTGCCGCTTCTGTCTCGTTCGTTTCCTTTCCACTTCTGTTTCTTCTCCCTTCAACCCCTCCCCGTCCCCTCCCCCCCACTACCCTCCCCTCCCTTCCCCTCCCCCGCTTCCAGGCCTCATCGCGAGCAGCAGTGGCAGACGGACGTGGGGCAGCAAGCAACCACGTGTGGCTGCATCAGCGTCCCCATCTGCACGCACCCACACAATCAGCTAAGTGCTCGCTCCTTCATGCATCCACCCTCGTTTCGTTTTCCTGTCATTTTGTTTTTTCTCCCAAAACGGGGCCACTGGTGGAAGCACAGGAATCAACTCACAGGCCTCCCTTACTCCAGGTAAAGCCCTCCCCAGGTAAAGCCCTCAGGTAAAGCCCTCCCTGACTGCAGGCAGAAACCGAACCTTAAGTCTGTGGCTTGTGAATGTGCGTCCATCAGTGGCCCTCCTTTCGCTCTTCTTCAATATACCACTCTTGCATTCTCTTTCGCATTGTGCCTCCATCCCATCCAACTCACTACCTCTCCTTGTGCACCCCTCCCCTCCCCCTCCCCTCCCTCCTCTCCCCCTCCCCCTCCCCTCCCTTCCCCTCCCCTGCTTCCAGGCCTCATCGCGAGCAGCAGTGGCAGGCGGACGTGGGGCAGCAAGCAACCACGTGTGGCTGCATCAGCGTCCCCATCTGCACGCACCCACACAATCAGCTAAGTGCTCGCTCCTTCATGTGTCCGCCCTCGTTTCGTTTTCCTGTCATTTTGTTTTTTCTGCCAAAACGGGGCCACTGGTGGAAGCACAGGAAACGACTCACAGGCCTCCCTTACTCCAGGTAAAGCCCTCCCCAGGTAAAGCTTTCAGGTAAAGCCCTCCCTGACTGCAGGTAGAAACCGAACCTTAAGTCTGTGGCTTGTGACCGTGCGTCCATCAGTGGCCCTCATTTCGCTTTTCTTCATTCTACCACGCTTGCTTTCTCTTTCGCACTGTGCCTCCATCCATTCCACTCACTACCTCTCCTTGTGCACCCCTCCTCTCCCCTCCCCTCCCCGCCTCTCCCTCCTCCCCTCCCCTCCCTTCCCCTCCCTCGCTTCCAGGCCTCATCGCGAGCAGCAGTGGCAGGCGGACGTGGGGCAGCAAGCAACCACGTGTGGCTGCATCAGCATCCCCATCTGCACGCACCCACACAATCAGCTAAGTGCTCGCTCCTTCATGCATCCACCCTCGTTTCCTTTTCCTTTCATTTTGTTTTTTCTCCCAAAACGGGGCCACTGGTGGAAGCACAGGAATCAACTCACAGGCCTCCCTTACTCCAGGTAAAGCCCTCCCCAGGTAAAGCCCTTCCCAGGTGAAGCCCTCCCTGACTGCAGGTAGAAACCGAACCTTAAGTCTGTGGCTTGGGACTGTGCATCCATCAGTGGCCCTCCTTTCGCTCTTCTTCATTCTACCACGCTTGCATTCTCTTTTGCACTGTGCCTCCATCCCATCCCACTCACTACCTCTCCTTGTGCACCCCTCCCCTCCCCCCTCCCCTCCCCTCCCCTCCCCTCCCCTCCCCTCCCCTCCCCTCCCCTCCCCTCCCCTCCCCTCCTTTCCCCCACCAGCTCCCCTAGCAGGAGCTCATGTGCCTGAGACGCCATGCCATGCCTGCTGCCCATGCTGCTGCAACTGCCTCCTGCGCTCACGCCATCAGCTAAGTACCCCTTCCTCCACGCCTTCAACTCACCCTTGCCTGCCACATCGTTTCGCTTGTTTCATCTGCTTTGCACCGTCTTCTTCAAACTCTGCCACTGGTTGGGCACGGCTCACATGCTACTGACCCCCACACTTCAGGCAACCCCCTCAGGTGCAGGTAACTCTCTCAGATGCAGGTACGCCCCTCAGGTTCCTTTTCAGGGGCCCTTGGTTCTGTAGCTTGTGGCCGTGCCTCCAACAATGGCTCTAATTCCATTCTCTTGCGCTGGATTTGAATTCACGGTTTCCCATTCAACTTGCTCACACCACGGTGCTCTGACTAGCTCTGTGTGTGCGCATTGCAGGTGGCGGGGAGGGGCGTGGGGGTCAACACCGCCACTCTCTCATGCCCCTCCCTTGTGGCCGTGCAGGTGGCAGTGGTGGGAGGGGAGGTGGGCAGCACTCCACTCGGCTGGGGCGGGAAGGGAGAGTATCGGGATCGGGTCGTCTGAAACAAGGTGAGCCTCATATCCCCTTCTTTCCGTCTGTCATGCTGTTGCTTGGTCTTCTCCCCATGCCCACTTCTTGTCTCGCTCCTTGCCCTGCAATCCACTCTGTTTTACGTCTTCCTCTGCACTCCTCTGCTCAGCCTTCACATCCCCATCCTTTCCCCCCTCCCTTCTCTGTCCTAATCTGCCCCCTCTCGTCCCAGCAGGCCGCTCACACGGGAGCAGCAGTGGCGGGAGACATGCAGTGCACCAGCAGCAGCTGCTCTACACCCAACCCACCTGCAGCTAAGTACCCGCGCTGCCTCTTGCGTTCATTGTCGTTCCATTTCAGTCCTTGCTGCATCTCCTGCCGCTTGTGCATTCAAACACAAGCCACTGGTTGAGCCAAAGCTTCAAGCCACAGACCCCTTTTCTTGGGTAATTTCCCCCAGGTACTGCAGGTATTTCTCTCAGGTCTGCAGGTAAGCCTCCCTAGGTGTGTACCTCTCTTGGGTCTGTGGCTTGTAGCTGAGGCTGCACCAGTGGCCCCCTTCTCTGCTCCCACATGCCATCTCATGCACTCCTCTCACATTTCTACCCCTAGCCGCTTACTCACTTCTCTTCAGTTCTCTCCTTCCCGGTTGAGGGGAGGGGTGTGGGGGTCAACACCGCCACTCCCTCGTGCTCCTCCCCTGTGGCTGTGCAGGTGCAACGGTGGGAGGGGAGGGGATAGTACTCCACTCGGCTGGGGCGGGAAGGGAGAGTATCGGGCTGGGTTGTCTGAAACAAGGTGAGCCTCTTTTTGCACCAGTGGCCCCACTCCTCTTCCTCCCTGTCTGTCTCGCGTGCACATCTCCCTTTCCATCTGCATACCTCTCTCTCCTCCACTTAACTTCCCCTCCAACTCTCCTCTCCCCTCCTCTCCATCTCCACCCCTTTCCCTCCTCCCCACTCTCCCCTCCGCCCATCCCCCAGCAGCCCCTCTGGTGGCGAGTTTCCAGCACTCCCAGCAGCGCCTTTGGGTGGTGTGAGGCGCTTCAGTGGCGGCAGCACAGGAGCCTCAAGGCTCAAGGCGCCACCGCCACTCACAGCCGTACCAGATAAGTACACTCTCTCTATTCCATCTCGCTTGTTAATTGCATTCGCTCTCTATCACATGTTCTCTCACATGCACGCTCAAAAGCATCTGCACATCATCGGTCCATGCATGCTGCATGGCTCCTCTCCTCAAGCCAAGCCACTTGCAGCAGCCTAGCCCACATGGTGCAGACCCCCTTATACCAGGTATTCCCCCCCCTCCAGCCCCCAGGTTAAGCCTACCCTAAGCACTACACCTTTACTGTAGCCTTTCTACCTTTGGGTCTGCACCATGTGCCTAGCGCTGCTCCAGTGATCCCTCTGCTGCTCTCACCTCCAACCCAACCCACCCATGCTCTCCTCTCACATTTCTACCCTTAGCCGCATACTCACTTCTCTTCAGTTCTCTCCTTTCAGTTCTCAACACCGCCGCTCCCTCGCGCCCCTCCCCTGTGGCCGTGCAGGTGGCAGTGGTGGGAGGGGAGGGGGGAAGCACTCTGCTCGGCTGGGGCGGGACGGGAGAGTATCGGGCTGGGTTGTCTGAAACAAGGTGAGCCTCTTTTCCCTCCCTGCTACAGATTTCTAGTTTCCCTCTCTTCAATTCTGCATTTTTTATTTTGTCCACTCTAGTGTTCTTCTGTTCACTTGAGTGTATCAGTTGATGCCAACTTATCTGTTCCTCCTGCCCCACCTCACACTGCCTTTCTTCATTCACGCTGCTGCCTTTCTTCATTCACGCTGCTGCCTTTCTTCATTCACACTGCTGCCTTTCTTCATTCACGCTGCTGTATTTCTTTTCTTGCTCCTGTCCTTGCCTTCCTGCTTCTGCCTGTTCTTCTCCCCTTGCTCACTGCTGTCCCTACGTCCCTTCCTCCCTCCCATCCCAGCAGCCTGAGGCATCATGGCGCTCTGCATGGCTCTGGTAGGTATAGGTAAGGAGGCATGGGGGTGAAGTGTGGGGTGGGTGGGTGGGTGGGTGGGTGGGAAGCATGGGAGCAAGCAGGGAGTTCACTGCCTTAGGGGCAGCACCTTCTGGGGTTGTGCCTTATGGGTCGGGGTGTGGTGGGTGGAATCTGCGCGGCACGGCACTCGGTGCTCAAGTAACCGATCTGACGTGCAAGGCCTAATGGACACCGTCAGAGCCGACCGGCCGGCGGCTCTGGTTCGCGTCAGCTCTGGCTACGTCAGGGGTGGGATTTGAGTCTTGGGCTGGAAGCAATTTTCCACATATCACACCTTGCCCCACAAGGCACTGCCTCTGGGGGTGCTGTTTCCTTGAGGAAGTGGGCTGTCTGATGCTCCTACTGCTGGCGAGTGAAGGTGAGAAGGGGCTGAAATCCCTTGGGTGGGTGAGAGAAGGGCCTGAAACCCCCTGGGTGGGTGAGTGGAAGAGAAGGGGTTGAAACCCCTTGGGAGAGTGGTTGGAGAGAAGGGGTTGAACCCCCCCCCTTGGGTGGGTGGAAGAGGGGGACTGAAACCCCTTGTGTGGTGAGTGGAAGGGGGCGAGGAGAAAAGGGGGCTGAACCCCCTGGGTGAGTTGAGTGAGGGGCAATGGTGGGGGCCTGAATCCCCCAGGGTAAGTGGAGTGAGAGGGCGAGGAGAAAGGGGGGTTGAAGCCGCAGGGCGAGTTGAGTGAGGGGCAATGGTGGAGTCTGAATGAGGGCCTCTGAATCACCTTGGGTGGGTGAGAGAGAGAGAAGGGGTCTGAATCCCTTTGGGTGGGTGAGAGAGAGGGAAGGGGTCTGAATCCCTTTGGGTGGGTGAGAGAGAGGGAAGGGATCTGATTCCCCTTGGGTGGGTGAGAGAGAGGGAAGAAGTCTGAATCCGCGTGGGTGGGTGAGTGAGAGGGCAAGGGGTCTGAATTCCCTTGGGTGGGTGAGTGAGGGGGAAGGGGCCTGAATACTCTTGCGTGGATGAGTGAGAGGAAAGGGGGCAGAGTCCCCTTGGGGGGTGAGCGAGTAAGAAAGGGGTTGAATGGCCTTGGGTGGGTGGCTGAGAGGGAAGGGGCCTGAAACCCCTTGGGTGGGTGAGTGATTGGGAAGGGGGCTGAAACCCTTTTGTTAGGTGAACCAAAGCAAGTGGGGCTGAAACCGCTAGGGTGGGTGAGTAAAAGAGAATGTGAGAGGAAATGGGGCTGAAACACTTGGGCCGCTTACACCCGAGGGTAGGTTAGTGGAGATGCCTTCTTCACCGCCACGCGTCGCCCCACAAGCCACATTCCTTGCGAATGTTGTTTCTCTACGTAAGTTGGCTGTCTGCTGCTCCTACCGCTGGCAGGTAATGGTGGGGAAGGATGGGGTAAGATGTGGGGTGTGGGTGGGTGGGTAGGTGGGTAGGTGTGAGTATAGGTGGTTGGGGTTTAGGGAGTGGGTGGGTGGCCATGGGCTGGGTGGGTGATTGTTTGGTGTATCTGGGTATGTGTGCGGGTTGGATGGGTGGTTATGGTTATGGTTAAAAACAGTATGGGGGCTGGGTGTGCGGGTTCGATGGGTTGTTGTGGGCAGGTTGGTGGATGGATGGTGGGGGGTCTGAGTGGGTGCTGCCTTGTTCGGGATGGGTGAGTGGGTGTGCGAGTGGGTGATTTACTAGATAGGTTGTTCTGTGAGTGTTCGGTTGGCTGGATGGGACGTTGGTGGATGAGTGTGTGTGTGGGCAGGAGGGTGAGTGGGTGAGTGGTGGGTTGTGTGGGGGACGAGTGGTACGTCGCCTGGGATGGGTGGAACCAATCGGAGTGGCAGTGGGAGTGGCAGTGGCAGCGGTGGTGGCAGTGGTGGTGGCTGACAATGTGGTGGAATGTAAGGCCATTCTGATTTTTTATGATGATGAGCAATGTCAGTGTAACTGTGTTGTAATGTTTAAACGACAGTGTACACTACGTATGGCATAATGGCATAACGTGTCTGCAAGAAGAATTCTCCACCACTGAACCAATCTTGAGCCATTACTTAGTTACCGTAGGTTTGCAAATGTTGGGGTTATATTTCAGCTTGTGAATAACTCATGCTGTACGCGATACGAGCATACTTCCGTCACTTTCGTTGTCTGCCTTGTTCGTGATGCCCTAACTGGCCGTTCGTCCCTCTTCATCCGTGCATGTCCCAAATTCCCCGTATCACAAACCACCCACTATCCAGACGAGAGGTATGGCGGGAAAACGAGTCTCTTCGCGATCGCGTTTCCTGCTCACCCAGCGGCGACTTCGCGCATCGGTCCCAACGCGATTGTACGAAGTCCGTTAAATCCCTCCGTTATAAGCAACTTCACGGAATTCGCCCAGTTTCGTTTTTTCTCACTTGCACCTTGATCACCTCGCCGTTTCACCTCCAGATTCATTTAGTTCGCTTGCAAGTAGTCCGTGCCTCAAATCGTGTCATCATCTCCGTCCCATCCACCGTATGTCTGTTGAATCCCGTTCATTGTGTGTAATTGTCCCAATCCCGTCCCGCCATACCATTCAGTGTCACCATCGTCGTCCTCGCCCTGCTGTCCTTAACCGTCGATGCGACCGCTTCTCCCGCCGCGATCCCCGCGGTGCTGGAGGTGGGTCGCGAGCTGCGGAACGTCAGCATGGCGTTCGCCGGCCGTTACAACGCCAACGCTGACGGCGACGCTGACGGCAATGCCGATGCTGACGCCAGACGCAGCAGCAGCACCGAGACGACCGCGAGTGCGGATGATAACGGGGACGTGCGGGAAGGGCGAGTGTTCGGGCTCCATGGGTTGCGGCCGAGCATGGGTTACGAGATTAAGATCTCCTTCCCTGCAAGTGTGCGTACGGCCACACGTTTCCACCTTTCCTGCGTCCAATTTATTGCCGGGAAGTCCTTGTTTTGCCCTTATGCAGACCCATACGCACTTTTGTCCGTGCGTGCTCAACCCATGCCACCCCATCCCACCCCTTTCCATCCCCTTCCACCCCATCCCAAACCACCCCAACCCATCCCAACCCATTCCACAGCTACCAGCGCGCTTCCATCTCGCCCTAATGGCCGTGGATCCAGAAGCCGCCACAGGGAGCGCCCAGGAAGGTGCTGCTGGTGCGTGGGGTGACCTCGCAAGTGGCCTAGCAGCCAAGTCCAGAAAAATGCTGGACACGGAGAAGGTCATTTTCAGGACTGACAAGCACTCCAACGTGCTGGTGAGTTCCGGGAATTTTCCATTAAAATGTATGCATTGTGGTTGCAGTAAGCTAGATTCGTGCACAGCTATGGGCTTTGCATTGTGTGGTTGCGGTATGCTAGATACCGGCAGTCAGCTTAACTGTGGGGATTGCCAGCTGGATAACAAAAGCGCTTGAGAGAAGCAAGTGCGAGTGACTGGGCCATGATTCTGGGCGGATAGAATCTTGTGTTAGGATGCTTTAATCCAGTCACTTGCAGGCTGGCCATGTGAGGATGGCCATGTGAGGCTGGCCATGTGAGGGCCATGTGAGGCTGGCCATGTGAGGGCCATGTCAGGATGGCCATGTCAGGATGGCCCTGTCAGGATGGCCCTGTCAGGATGGCTATGACGACAGCTCAAGTGTGTGTGCCATTGGCAAAACACTTTGTGATTCATATCTGTATTCATCACTTTCTCTGCTTCTTTCCTCCCCATGCTCCCTTTGCTCCCGTTGTTTCCCTTGCTTGCTCTCCAGCTGCAAGGCCGGCCGCTCGTACCTTCTGCAGCAGTGCATGTGTGGGCTGAGCCCACAGCAGTATTTCCAGGGGGGGGTCGTGAAGGATCAGGGGATGTGCTTTTCAATATAGGTGGGTGCAGGTGGTTTGAGCTCGGCCAGTTTTTGTTGGATTCCTCTATTCCCTTATGTAGAAGGGTTGTAGTACCGTATGTGCTTTTAGATGCAAGTGATCTTGAATTGCTGATGCTGTTTCTTGATCTTGTTCACAGATTGTTTTTTTCCTGTTGTTGTTCCTGCCACGCCCTTTGGTTTCTGCGCTTGGCAGTCTGTGAGGAGCTACGCTTGGGCATACCAATCAGTGCATTTCGCCTCGCTGCCTTTGGCATAATTCTACTTACCGTTGTGGTGTTTATTGCACACCAAGCCCCATTGATTTCGCTTGTTTCCCTTGCTGACTCCCTTTCCAGTGGTGCTGTAGGTTCAAACCGTCGTTTCAAAGAGAGAATTTCTTAATACTGTGTGTCAGTCTTGAGCAGAATTTATCTAATAGCATGTGGTTGCACATTGTTCCAATATATATTTTATACTGTTTGTACGTGTACACCTCATGCTATACGAGTACAATTGTATCGGAAGCAATGTCCAGTCCACCAACAAAACGTGTTTTGTCGGTTCCACCGAAGCAGACGCTGCTCTTTCGTCCCAAGAATTTCGACGACCGGCAAGGCAAACTCACCCCTTGCTCACCACGCACGCGTCGCGCCCCGGCTGTCGGTTGTTGATGCTGCTGCTGACTCTTCCCTTCATCCCCTTCCCCCTTCTTCCCCCTCCAACTTTGTCCCCCACCTTCCCGGTGCGTGAGGATGACACGGAGATTTCCGCGTTTCCACCTGTGTTCCCCCGTCTCGTCCAATTGATTCTGCCCCCTCATCCAGGGGAAAGATTTCAAAGTGTGCGCGGAGGCGCTTGCGGCGGAGTTTGGTGGATGCTGCGGGCATCAGCGCCCCCACCCCACTACTCCATGTTTACCGCGGGGAGTCGTGGTTTTTCCGGGTCTGACGACAAATTGCGCTTTATTGACGAATGTCGCCGCCACCGAGCAATTTCAAGCTGAGGGTTTTCAGAAGCACTGGCGAAGTATAAAGTAGCTTGCCGCAAAAAAAGAACAAGATAATACGCAAGCTTGATTTTTGTTCCTCGTTTGATTTCAAGTTCCCTCCAACAACCTCGTTTGACTAAATTGCTATTTCTCAAACTTCCGTACGTCGGCTTGTAAACTTTGCGAGTAACATCGTTAGTATCAGCTACAAATGGGTCCGCCACGTCAGCTCGACCTTTCCCAGACCCAGCCTTCGCATCGCTCGGCGATTCAGTCGGAAGACTTGCCGTCGCAGATCGACATCCTGCAGACCATGATGGCGCGGCAAGGCCGGCCGATGCCGGGCCGGCAGCACCAGAAGCACCTCCACCAACACGCGACTCCAGCAACGAGTCGACGCGTGGCCTGCAGCGGCCTGGAAGATAGGGACGGCAGCGGCGCGTCCAGCGAAGAGGAGCGATCCCATTGGATGTTCGACGAGAGCAGCAGCAGCATGAGGAGCAGCACGAGCGGCGAGCACAGCACCGCGGACGCGCATTCGGGGCTGTGCATTCCGGAGGATAGTGACTGTACCGGCGGTAATCGTGGCAGTAACGGTGGTAACGGTAACAGCGGTAACGGATCGGGGACGTTAACGGAGGCGAGGGATATCGACATAGACGTGCCGGACTACTCGCTGCTGTTCAACGAGGCGCGCGCGGCGAAGACGGAGGGAAAGGCGCCGCGCGTGGTGCCGAAATACGGCGAGGAGATGGCGGACGTGCCGACGAAGCGCATCGAAGTGTACCTACCGCCGCCGGTGAGTTTCACGCACGCGACGCGACGCGCATAGCGGCTCTCCGAGAGCCGAGTGACACGGTTTCTTACCGGCCGGGACGAGACGCGTTATTTCCTGAATCGTTGTGGAAAAACACTCAATAGTCGCATCGCAGCACGGCCTGCGCGTTGACGATTCACGGACTTATGATTGACGAATCGAGTTGTGAGCCTGTGAGGTGATGGATGGCGCGAAATGTGAACACCGGACCGGACCGCTGTGTTCGCCGCGCTTGCGCAGTCCGTAATGACTCACTACCGCTGGTTTCACTCTCAAGAGTGAGTTCACTCCCATCTTGTTTCCCTTGTTCTGCGGTGAATGAGAGCTTTGCGCGCATCTCGCCTGTGACCTAAGCGTCTATCTCTGTCTTTCTTTTTCCCCACATTTCCCTACCCGTTGATTTCAGTCCCCGCAATGCTCGCCGAAGCGTCGATCTGGCTGCTGCCTCCCGTTGTTTGGTCGTCGGTGACAGTGCGTATGCCACTGGCCACTGGGGCCTATGCGTGGAGTAGGACCGAACCGCAGCGGGACAAAGAAGCTGACCTGGTTGTGGGTGCGCTCGCGTTGTTGCTTGACTAATTCTTTTGTTAAAGCCTGTGGTCAGGAAAGGTGTGCTCGCATTTGTGTGTAGTGCGGAACGTATCTGCCAAGCGTTAGCGTAAAAACTATGGTATAGAGCTTGCTGACTTGCATTTTACTAATGTATACGAGTTTCATAGAATACTGGCAACACTGGCGATTCTTGTAACATTCAACATGCATGTCAGTTTCACTCCTCGGTCCCACTGGACCGCTGCGGAACAAGACTACACAAATGCAACCCGGAGATCTGCAACGGTATCCCTAGAGCACTGGTCACACGATAAGATACACACGCTACACAATGCAGCCTTCGTCACACGGCGCTTTCTTGATCAAGGCGCAGCTTTTGCAGCCGCCTCTTTCTTCTGCTCTTTCTCCAGCCTAGCTTGCTCTTTCTTCTGCTCTCTTTCCAGCCTATCTTGCTCATTCTTCTGCTCTCTCTCCAGCCTATCTTGCTCATTCTTCTGCTCTCTCTCCAGCCTAGCTTGCTCTTTCTTCTGCCGCTTCTCCTTCTCCAGTTCCCTCTTCTTCCGCCTCTTCTCCTCCTTCTCTGCTATCCTCGATCTCCTCCTCTCCTCCTTCGTCCGTATCTTGAATGCCCTCCTCTTCTCCCTCTCCTCAATCTTGTTCCTCCTCTTCTCCTCCTTCTCTTTGATCTTCAGTCTCCTCTTCTCCTCCCGAACTGCGATCCTCTCCTTCCTCTTCTCCTCGTTCATTCTGATCTTCTCCAGCCTCTCCTCTTCCTCCTCATCGTCGATTTCCTCCATCGTCTTTACCCTCGCTTCGTCCATGTTCCCTGCACCCTTCGCCTCCGCGGCAGTAGCGCGGCCCAATCGCCCTTGGTTCCATCCGCGCGCCACGGGGAACGGCACTGCGCGCATCACTGCGTCCGCCAGTGAGGAATCCGCGCCGCTCGCCGCCACGCCCAGCGCTAAAAGCGTCGCCGCCATCGCCTCTCGGCGCGTCACTTTCCGCGCTCCGCTCTCCGCGCGCTCCACGCGCCTATTTCCCGCCTCGTCCTCCGCCGGCGGCGCAGGCGTCTGCTGATCGTCGGTTGCGCCATTCGTCGCCCTCACGCACGCGGGCTTCAGCCGCGAATGGGAGGCCAGGCGGCACGGGGGGGAACGAGTCGAGCGGGGGAGCGCGCGAACTGACGAGGGGAGTCAGCGGGATGGAAAGACGCCGGTTGGGCATAAGGAAAAGAAATATCAGATTGACGGAGAAAGCACAGAATAGAAATGGATGGGCATGGACAAAGAATCGTCGTGTGACAACATCTCGCATAGAGTTTCCAGGACACGTGTGTTCGTGGCAACAGCCGGGACGGAGGGAAAGCATTGGAATGCCGTTAGTCCACTCACCATTGCAGTAGCCCGCGTTGGATGCACTCCCGAGGCGAGACGCGTCAGCAGAGAAGACACGACCCTTGGACGGGAGCGCGCACAGCCCGGCGACACTAGCGCGACAAGGATTTGCGACTGCGAGGATATCCATGGCGAGAACTCACGATTGTAGGGAACTAGAAAGACTGATAAAACAAACCTCGGTGAATTACTGAGAATCAGGAATGCCAATTTGTAGGCATGAATGGACTCCTGAGAAGAAGCGGAATTGTGCTGCGAATTTCTGGCAGGGCATGCGCGGATTCCAGGTGCGGGATTCTGGGCACACGCGGAATCTCTCGCGAGCGGATGCGGCACGAGATTGGACCAAAGCTGGTCAATGTGGTTGAAGATATTTGCGCTGCTGAGTCACGTTACACGTCAGCGCGACGGAGCAGGGAATGCGGTAATGTGATAGTCACTCTAGCATTGATTTGAGAGTTCAGAATTCATTCCTTATACGGTGAAGTAAAACATGGTACACCCAAAACTAGAAAATTTATTGCTCTTTTAAGAGAAATGGTACAACGAAGCTGCCGCTTCCGGAAAACAAGATATGCCACATCATTCACTGTCACTATCCTCCTTTTTCTCCTTTTTCTTCTTTTTCTTCTTCTCAGCTGACGCTGAAACTCCCTCTCCAGCTGCCCCATCCGCTTCCTCTTTCTTCTTTTTCTTCTTCTTGGCTGACTCTGAACCCTCAGCAGCCGCACCTTCCCCATCCTTCACTTTCTTCTTCTTCGGAGTGCTCTCATCCCCTTCCTTCTTTTCCTTCTTCTCCTTCTTCTTCTTCGGAGTGCTCTCCTCCCCATCTCCCTTCGCCTCGTCCATCATAACATCCCCAGCAGCACCATCCGCAGCCCTCTCCTCTCCCTCCGCGCCCTCCCCATTCACCGCCGCAGCCGCCGCCACATAATCCGGAATCGACCGAAGCCACTCGGCCGGGGTCTTCTCATTCGGCTTCCCGTGTTTATCCAGAAAGCCGCCCGCAATAAGCTTCTTCTTCTGCTGCGAAACCGGCCCCAGGCCCCACTTGCGCGGGTACGTGTCTCGCTCCATCACCACTCGCTTCACCTTGGCAACCACGCCGTGATCACATGACGCCATGCCTGCTGTCGTCATCTGTGCGATGGCGATGGCGATCGCCTCGCCCTTGGTTGTCATCAGCACCACCTCCTCACCGACCTAAAGGAATCCGAGCAGGACGGAATGCAGGGAGGGTAAAAGTAAGAACGTGCAGAACATTTGGCAGCACCCGAGCGTCAACTCCTGACAATGAGCTAGCTTCATAAGTATTGCGTAGCTCAGCCTGACTGGTTATCCTCCCTCCGTCCGTCCCTCCCTCCCCCGCGAAGAGTCACGTCGTTCCTAGTATCGCAGCAGACCCAAGAAACATGACCTTTGAGACGTCTCAAACGCCCTCTCTCCGTCCCTTCCTCCTCCCTCCACCCCCAACTTCCACCTTCATTGCCCCTTGCGCTCACCTCAATGGCGTTTTCATATCGCAGCAGCCCCGGCAGCATGAGCTTCGCGCCATAGCACAGCGCGTTGATGGCGCTGTCCTTCACCACGAGCCGCTTGAACGACGTCAGCAGCACCTCCAGCGGCATGATCACGCGCCGCAGGTACGTCTCGTCGCCGTACTTGTCGTAACAGTACTGCGCGTCCAGCACGTCGTGCATGGTTACCATGTTGTTCTGTTCGCCCAGAATGCCGGACCGCACTCGCCGCAGCTCCTGCAGTAGTGGGAAAAGGTTCAAGAATTGGAGTTCATGATACGATGAATTCAGGGTATAAGGGAGTCAGCATAATGCTCAACATACAGGCGTGCACGGAAAACGACACCGGAGTAGACGGAATAGGCGGAAACAAATGTGGGAGAAAACGAGCAATACCAGAGAAAGGGGGGGGGGAATGGGGGGGGAGGGGAAGAGGAGAGACGGGGGAGCTAAGGAGGGTGGAACGAGAGAGAGGACGCGGGAAAGGCGGGAGGGAGTGGGGGAAGGAGGGAGAGGAGAAGATTGCATGAAATTTCGCGCGTTCCACGACACGGACCTGCATGTGCGCGCCGACGCCGAGCATCAGGCCGAGATGCACGCAGAGCGTTCGCACGTACGTGCCGGCTTCGACGGAACACCAGAACACCACGAGGTTCCGCGCCGCGTCGTAGTCGAGAAGCTTGATCTCGTAGATCGTGCGGATGCGCAGCTGGCGCTTAACGGCGGAGATGAGCGGCGGGCGCTGGAAGAGCGCGCCCGTGAGCTTTTCTAACGCGCGTAAGACCGTCGCCTCGCTGTCGACGGCGCTGTGGAGGCGCGCGATGCACACGTACTCCTTTCCCGCTCCCTGCTGCGCCTTGACGAGGCGCGTCGCGCGATCCACGCAGACGATCAGACTGCCGGACACCTGGAGGCACGGCGCGCGAATGGGAAGGTGGGTGAGGATGGCCGATGAGGATGAGTGAAATGCGGGGGATAACGGGGATACGGGGCAAAAACAACGGGATAAGAATGAACAGGCACACGGGGGTAAGAGAAACCACGGAACTTGCATGGGAGTTTGACATCAACGAATCTAGCAGCGCCCCCATGCCGCTCAATTTACAGCAAAGTAAGCCGTAACGCAACGCTACGGAGTATCCCTGATCAGCGAAAGAGGAACCTGTTCCCATCCCCTTCTACCGAAAGCTATGGCCTGCATTGCTCGCGCATTTCAAGCTCCGTTGAACTCCAAGTGCGCTGCGCGAAATTTCCGGTCCGCGCGCGTAAAACACAACCCCAAATCCCTATCCCACCCCCCAAAAAATCCTTCCTTGAAAACACCGGTTCTCCCAAGCCCTGAAGGAGCCCCAAGGCCAGCTAAGAAACCCCATGTCCGGTTTCCCCCCCTCCTACCCCTTACTCCCTCCCGCTCTCTTCCAGAACAAGCAGACTCTTTTCGAACGCCTACACCCCGAGTTTCCTAAAAATCAGAAGTTGCACCGCACCGCACCCAACTGCACCGTGGCGCACCTTGGGATCCAGCGTGCCGCTGTGGCCCGTCTTGTCGACGCGCAGAATGCGCTTGATCCACGCAACCACCTCGTGCGAGCTCGGGTTTACAGGCTTGTCCAGATTGATCACTCCGTATCGCACGTAATCCGAAATCGGGCGCTTGAGCGGCGTGTGCCCCATGGGAATCGGCGTGTAGTGCCCCGTGCGCACGTTCAGCTTGTCGTAGTTTTTCAGCAGCAAGGGCCACTCGCTCGTGTCCATTATGTCGCGCTTCGTCGGCTCCGGCTTGATGAGGAAGTCTGTCGCGAGCTGAAGCTCGCCGAGCGAGGTTTTGCCGTCGGCCATTGGAACTAGCGCCTTCGACGCCTGTTCTTCCGCTTCCGCGGATTGCCCCTTTGACTTTTTCTTCTTCTCCGTACCCATAATGCTGGTGTGACTGATGCGCTAATAAAAAAGTTACCAAGACGTCGGCAGTCAGAAAGAATCGACAAATCTCGCGCCTGTAGAGACACTTAGCCGAAAGGCACTAGGCGGAGTGAAGCAGAAGACGGGTAAGGAAAGAAGTCGTACAGAAGAGAGGGGGGCGGATATGGGAAAGGGGGGATAAGGGTACTGGACTCGAGATGGTGGAGTCGAGGAATAGAAACATGCGAGGGCGAGGGGCTGAGTTTGGGAGGAGAGGGGAGGAGGGAGAGGGGGGCGGTAGGGCGAGGAGGGAAACAGAGGAGGGTGGGAGGTGTTGGGAGGGCAAGTGTAGGTGTAAACGAAGGGCTGGGGGTGTGAGGAGGGGTTGCGAAAATCGCCCAGCCCACATGAGGTACGAAAGCGCGATTTGGTGGCTCGGTGGCTATCCACCTGACGATGTAGACAGTAACACTAGCTGCATTTTCCGCTTCTTGTGTTTCTTATCTTATCTGCCATGTCTTATTGGTTTCATTCTGCGCATTTCTATGATTATTTTGCTGAACCATATGTTCACAGAATTTTGTGGCTGGACCATATGTGACAAAATTGTGCATAACCAGCCGTATTACCCTACATGTTATGTTCATAATCATTAGTATGTATTGGTATGGTTGCAGCAAGCGCATGTATTGAATTAGATGTATTCGAATTTGATTAGATATGATAAAGTTATATGAGTGAATGATTTTTCCGATACCATTATCGGAAGAGCAACATCTCTTGACGGGATCGATCATCTAATCCCGTCAACAGCTCAGCCAATCCCAGATGCCCAGAAGATATGTTATGTTACGATATTCCGTCAGTTTGCGGTTGTCTCAGCGTGCCCCACTTCCACGTCACTCTCCAAAGCACAACCCCCAGCCTTCCATCACTCCACGTGGTTTGGCCCGTCGTTTCAATCAGATCTCGCTCACCCGCCACCTTCATTCAGCAGCAGCCGCGGAGCAAGCCAGACCTACCTAGCCCATACCACACAGCCCAGGCCACCCAACCACACCTGCGCTTCCTTCGCGCCCACGAGCCTGCCGTAGCTTGGTCGCCACTTTTCCGGAGGGCCACACATCTTTCGATCTTGAAGTCGCGCCGCATCTGGGTAGCTACCTGCCGTGCCTCTCCCCAGCCGACACCGAGGCTTCCTGATTCGGCTCGGAAGAACCCGAACCCAAACGAGATTCGAGAACTAGGCAAGTCTCACAACTCCCCTCTCTACCTCTCCCAAATCTCTCCTCCCTCCCGTCCCTACCCTGCAAGATGATGACCAGGAGCATTTCACATCATATCAAGTCCTTTTTCACATTCTCTCCAAGTCGTTTTAGGAGATACTAGGCTTTTCTCGAGCTGCAACACCTTCGCGTGCTGTTGTTGCTGCCGCCGTTCTTCCTGGATCGAAGGTAGACACGTAGTGTCTCCTCCGTCCTGCTATCGCCGTCTCAATTCATTCATCACGGGCTGGTCCTGTTTCGATTCGGCTCGCTCGGATCTGTTATTCTGTTTCCGTCACCTTCACCATTAGTGCTGCTGCCGCTCACAGTGCCATTGAGTGTCGCCTCCGGGTCGCTCAGTGTTGCTCACTGTTGCCGACATGGCATCAGTCACTCTGAGCATGGCTGCATGTGCTCCCGTGCTCCGCTGCAAGCCTCCCACCAGCGCCACCTGCGTCAGCAGCGGCGAAACCCTGACAGAGGCGAGGCTAGGCGCGCAAAAATCCTCTCTGAGAATCCACAGCAGCAGCGGGAACGCCGCTGCGGCGCAATGGAACCCGCTTTCGTCGAGCAGAAGCAGATCGGCGTGCAGATTTGCATCGTCCAGCGGTCCAGGGGCGGTCAGTCGACGACGAGCCACGTGGCGAGTGCAGGCGTCCGCGTCGGAACCTCCGTCTGATGCGAAGAGCGACGCGACTGGCAGCAGCAGCAGCGGTATCAGCGGTGACAACAGCGAGAGCGCTCCTGGAGTCACATCGGAACAATACCAGGTGAGTGTCGCGGTGTGTTTGCTGGTCGAGTAATAAGTCTCATGAAGTCGCGTCGGAACATTACCAGGTGAGTGCCGCGGTATGTGCGCCGTCCGATATTCAGGTACGACATGACGGTACCCGCGGCGCGTTGCGATCGCGTACCAAATGAAAGGTATTGTGGCCGAATAAAAGGACTCGCCTCCATCGCATGCCGAATCTAAGGAATTGCCGCGATCGCATGCTCACTGAAAGAATTCGTTGCGATGGCGTGTAGAATAAAAGAGATCGTCGTGATCACACGTTCATTGAAACATTTCTGTCCAGTTTTGTTCAATGGTGCCAAACCCTGACTGCCGCCGTTCGCTGACAGTTGCCATGTCCTGACAGCCGAACTATCCTGATCTCGTTGTCTCTCTTCCATGCTGTAACCTCCTCGCCTTGCTAGCGCCGCCTTGCTCGTGTCATCGTCTTGTTCATCCCCTCAACCCCACGTGCCATCCCTCCATCACTTTATCGCTCCATCACTCCATCTCTCGACCACTCCATTATTCCATCTCTCCATTACCTCACCACTCCATCACTCGAACGATCCTCCGCAAACACTCCCGATCTCACTCAACACCCTTCCCCCCCGCCCCCTCCCCCCATCCCCTCCCCTCTCCGCCGTCCCCCGATCCCTCCCCGCGCAGATGCTCCTGGATCCGCGCGCGTCGGAGGGCGCGTGCGATCCGGTGTGTTCGATCGACGACATGTCGTACGAGGAGTACGAGGAGGTGCAAGGGCAGGAGAAGTCCGATAACATCAAGGCCGTCGTCATCGGCGCCGCCATTGCCATCGGCGCCGCGGCGATTAATCTCGAATGGGTCGAGGCGCACCAGGTGAGCGTGGGTTAGTTCTAGAGAGTGGGTCTAGTTAGTTCTAGTGATTACGGATGGCACACACGATCGCACTCTTGATTGCACTCCAACGGCTATAATCATCCAACCCAACCTGTTCCTCGCTCCCTCCCTACCCAACTTACCTTCTCTCCCTCTCTCCCCCTGTCCCCCTCCTCCCCCCTTCTCTTCCTCCCTCTCCCCCTCTCCCCTCTCCCCATCCCCCCCAGGACATCACGATGTGGACGGTGTTCGCGCTGGGATACGCGGGCATCATCTTCGAGGAGTCGCCTGAAAAGCCTCTATCCATCCCCTTACCACTCCTGTTCCCCACTCCCCTCCCCACTCCCCTCCCCCCTCTCCCCTCTCCCCATCCCCCCCAGGACATCACGATGTGGACGGTGTTCGCGCTGGGATACGCGGGCATCATCTTCGAGGAGTCGCTCGCGTTCAACAAGGCGGGCGTCGGGTTGCTCATGGCCGTCGCGCTCTGGGTCATCCGCGACATCTGCGTGAGTGTGCCTCCTCCTCCTCTCCCTCGCTCCTAGCTCGCTCGATCGCGCGCACCCTTCTTCCCTGCCTCCCTGCCGGGCCCCCTCCCTCCCTCCCTCGCACCCTCGTCACACACACCTTCCCTCCCTCTTTCCTTTCCTTCCTCCTTATGAGTATGATGGGTCGTCGTTGCGCGTTCGAATGACCCGGTTGTTCTCCCCAGCCGTCTTGCGAGTTGCTTCAACGCCCACGCCTCCTCTCCCCAAACACTCTCCCCCCATCCCCTCCCCGTATGACCTTCCCTCTGAAATCAAAATCAAAATCATCCCCTCCCTCCCCACCTCTTCCCCTCGCCTCCCCCTCCCTGATGCGCTTCCCCCCATCCTCCCCCCGCTCCGCGCGCGCAGGCTCCCGCGCAGGGCCTGGCGGTGGCGGAGCTGTCGCACCACTGCGGGGAGGTGGCGGAGATCGTGTTCTTCCTGTGGGGCGCCATGACCATCGTCGAGATCGTGGACGCGCACCAGGGCTTTAAGCTCGTCACGGACGCCATTCAAACGCGCAACTCCAAGAAGCTGCTCTGGATGGTGCGAGGGAGGGGTGGAGTGCGGTGGGGTGGGGTGTGGTGGGGTGGGGTAGTTGTGTGTGCGGTGGTGAGTGCAGGGTTCGCGAGTGGAGTGGGTAGGGTGGGTGCGTGCGTGGGCCCGTGTGCTCTGCTCCTCTCTGCTCCGCTCTCCTCCGCTCTCTCTGAGCTTCTCGTGTGTTTGTGATGTGTGCGGTGTCATGAGGTGTGCGCATGCTCTTGGGACAAAACGACTGCTGTTACCACTGGATCCCATCGCATTGCTTCTCACCCGTCCCCTCACCCGTCCCCTCGCCCCTCCCGTCGCATTGCTCCTCACTCGTCCCCTCGCCCCTCCGCTCACCCGTCCCCTCGACCCCTCCCCTCGCCCCTCCTCTCGCCCCTCCCCTCGCCCCTCCTCTCGTCCCTCCCCTCTCCCCTCCTCCCGCCCATCCCCTCGTCCCTCCCCTCGCCCTTCCCCTCGCCCCTCCCCTCGCCCCTCCCCTCGCCCCTCTGCCCGTCCCCTCGCCCCTCCCCTCGCCCCTCCCGGCCCCTCCCCTCGCCCCACCCTGCCCCTCCCTGCAAACCCCTCGCCGCCTTCGACTTCCCTTCCCCGGTGTCCATGCATTCACGCGCGCACATCCCTCTCTCTCCCTCTCCCGCCACCTCTTGTTCAGGTGGGCGGCATCACGTTCTTCCTGAGTTCCATTCTCGACAATCTCACGTCCACCATCGTCATGGTGTCGCTGCTGCGCAAGCTCGTCCCCGACCCCGAGAGGCGAAGGTGCGTTCTGGCTGCCCTGCTGCTGCCCTGCTGCTGCCCTGCTGCTGCCCTGCTGCTCCCTGCTGCCCTCCTGCCCTCCTGCCCTCCTGCCCTCCTGCCCTCCTGCCCAGCTCTTGTGGTGCCTGTTGCCCTGCTGCACTGCTTCCCTGCTGCTATGCTGCCCCTTCTGCCCCTGCTGCTTTCTTGCCGTGTTGCCATGTCCTGCCATGTGCTGGCGTGGTCCTTCTTTGCTCTCCACTCGTCTCCTTGTAACCCGGTTACCTTTCTTGCCCCCTATCCCTGCTCGTTGCCCGCCTCCCTGTTTCCTTGTGTCACCCCACCTACCTGTGAGCATCAAACATGCCATGCCACTCCATGCCATCTCGCGGCCCACCACATGCTCTACCCCCCCACCATACCCCACAATACCGCACCCCACCGCACCCCACCCACCGTGCCGTGCCATGCGCCTCTCAGGTTCCTGGGAGCAGTGGTGGTAATTGCTGCCAACTCGGGAGGAGCGTGGACGCCCATTGGCGATGTCACCACGACCATGCTGTGGATTCACGGCCAGATCTCCACCGTTAAAACCATCACCGTGAGTTGATGTGACCGTGAACGCTATCACTGGTGAGGTAACCTATAGAATATCTCGGTCATATGTACTGCTTACTTACCCACATATTAGCTCACTCACCCGCCCGAGCTCCGTGCCATGGCCTGTCTGCCTCACACGACGAATTCTCTCCCCACCTCCTTGTATACTCTCCTCTCCTCACCTCTCCCCCGTTCCTCTTTGTCCCTTCCTTCCCCGGCATCATGCCTTTCCTGCTCCTCCTCGGTCACCCTTTTCATGTCTCGTCCTCTCCCCCGTCGCCACAGGATCTCTTCTTCCCGTCGCTCGTCTCCCTCATCGTGCCGCTCACACTCCTCTCCTTTGACAAGTGAGTGCTCTCTTCCACCAGCTCCCCTCCTGTCTCTCCCTTTTTTGACGCGTCTCAAAAGTCTTCCCGTTGCTCGTCTCCCTCATCGTGCCGCTCACACTCCTCTCCTTTGACAAGTGAGTGCTTCCTCCTCCACCTCCTCTTACTCTTCCTTTCAACCCCCCTCCCCCCCCCCCCCTTCCCCCCTCCCCTCCCGTCCTCCGCCCCTCCTATACCCTTCCCTCCTATCCCCCCTCCCTTCATATCCTTCCTCCCCTTCCGTCCCCCCGACCGTCCTATCTCCCCACTTCTCCTGTCCTCCGCCCCTCTTTCCTCCCTTCCTCCTATCCCCCCTCCCCTCCCATCCCCCCGCATGTCCTATCCCTCCTCCCCTCCTGTCCTTTCCGCCCTCCCTCCTCTTCTCACGGTTTCTCCGTTCCTTTCTCGTTCTCCCATTCGCACTCACTCGTGGGTGGCAGTGACAAGGCAAGAGCAGCAGCCAAGTTCAAGTTCTCGTCCGTCCACTCCACATTGCTCTCTCCATGACTCATCCCACATCCACAAATCCACACACCCTCGCTTGCTCCCTCCCATCTCCCCCAGGTCTCTGGTGGGCGGCAGTGACAACAGCAGCAGCCAAGTCCACGCTTTTCGTTCCCGTTTTCTTCCCACCACACACTCACACACCCTCTCTCCCCTTTGCTCACTCCTCCCAGCTCGCTGGTGGGCGACAGTGACAAGGCGGCAGCAGCCAAGTCCACGTTTGCCAACGAGACCATGGCGCCCCGAGGCCGTACCTGAATGACTCACAGGTTCCCACCCCACCAACCCCCCTCTTCCGCTAATTCCCCTCCGCTGTCCGCTCCTCTCCCCCCCCTCCATCCCCCAGCTCGCTGGTGGGCGACAGTGACAAGGCGGCAGCAGCCAAGTCCACCTTCGCCAACGAGACCATGGCGCCCCGAGGCCGGCTGGTGTTTGGAGTGGGCATCGGATCGCTCATCTTCGTGCCCGTCTTCAAGGCGCTCACAGGCCTCCCGCCCTACCTGGGCATGCTCGCAGGTATGGTCATGGCTGTTCTCCTTATCCCCGTAGCCTCTGGTTTTGGGTCTGGTGTCTGGTGTTTGATGCTTGGTGTTTGGAGTGGGCATTGGATCGCTCATCTTTGTGCCCGTCTTCAAGGCTCTCACGGGCCTGCCGCCCTACCTGGGCATGCTCGCAGGTACGGGTGTTTCTGTTCTTCTTTCCTTGCCCCCTTTCCCTCTCAACCTCTGACCCTCTTACCCTCCAGTCTCCCTTCCCCACTCGCCCCTGCCCCTCCTTCCCCTCCTGGATTCCTTGTGGTTGTGTCTGTTCCATACCATACCTCCCACCCTCACCACCAGGTCTGAGCGCGCTGTGCCTGCCAGCAGACGCGATTCTCTAGGAGGAGAAGGAGGAAGACCTCACCTTACAAACCCCCGTCCCTACTTTGCCCCTGCCTATGTCTTAATACTTTGTGAATCGTTTGTGCCCGTCCCCTCCTGCACCAGGCCTGGGCGCGCTGTGGCTGCTGACAGACGCGATCCACTACGGGGAGACCCAGCTCACTTTTCACACTTTTCTCTCGACTCTCCCGGCCTCTCCCTGCCTCTCCCCCTTCCCCCTTCCCCACCGTTTCTTCTAACCTTCTCCCACACCCCCACCAGGCCTGGGCGCGCTGTGGCTGCTGACAGACGCCATTCACTACGGGGAGAGCGACAGGCAGCGGCTCAAGGTGCCGCAGGCACTGTCCCGCATCGACACACAGGGCATCCTCTTCTTCCTCGGCATCCTGCTGTCCGTCGGCAGGTGGGTTGGGTGTGCTACTTGTGTTATGTCTGTGCCATGCCTGTGCCACTCCTGTGTGTGTGTATATGCGCTCTCCGCTCTCCCGCCCGCATCGACACACAGGGCATCCTCTTCTTCCTCGGCATCCTGCTGTCCGTCGGCCCAGGTGGGTTGGGTGTTCAGAGCGTGTGCCCTAGTCCACCCATTCCACCATTCCCGCATTTCGCTTCTTGCCCACCCCCCCCTTCGTCCCCTGTGATCCAAGCCCCCCCTCTTTCCCCAACCTTGTGCTTCCCTCTGCCCCTGCTCCTGCCCTTTCCCCCCTCAGTCTGGAGGCGGCAGGGCTATTGAAGGACCTGGCGGGGTGGCTGGACAACAGCGTGGGCAGTGTGGAGTTGATCGCAGGGGGGTCATCTCAACTCCACGACTCCCCCTCCTTCCTGTTCTCATCTTTCTCCAATCCTCCGCTTCCCTGTGCCCCTGCCCCTGCCCCTGCCCCTGCCGCTGCCCCTGCCCCTGCCCCTGCCCCTGCCCCTGCCCCTGCCCCTGCCCCTGCCCCTGCCCCTGCCCCTGCCCCTGCCCCTGCCCCTGCCCCTGCCCCTGCCCCTGCCCCTGCCCCTGCCCCTGCCCCTGCCCCTGCCCCTGCCCCTGCCCCTGCCCCTGCCCATGCCCATGCCCCTGCCCCTGCCCATGCCCCTGCCCCTGCCCCTGCCCATGCCCCTGCCCCTGCCTCTGCCCCTGTTCCCTCCCCCCCTCAGTCTGGAGGCGGCAGGGCTACTGAAGGACCTGGCGGGGTGGCTGGACAGCAGCGTGGGGAGCGTGGAGCTGATTGCAGGGGCCATCGGGCTGGCGTCCGCTGTGATTGACAACGTGCCTCTGGTGGCCGCCACCATGGGCATGTATGACATGAATGTGGTATGTGTGGGGGGGAGGGGAGGGGTGGGAAGAGAGAGAGATGAGGGTGTGGGAGAGAGGGTTGTGGGGGAGAGGGTGAGGGGACGGGCCGGTGAGTAGGTAGGCGATCATGTGGTGCTGAGGGCTGGCAGGGCTGCTGTGAGGCAAGCGGTGGTGTGGCTGCCTCTGGTGGGGTGTGGAGCTGATCGCAGGGGCCATCGGGCTGGCCTCTGCTGTGATTGACAACGTGCCTCTGGTGGCGGCCACCATGGGCATGTACGACATGAACGTGGTATGTGGATACAGCAGGGCCGTGGGGGGCTGGGGCATTGCACAGAGCGCGAGGGACAGAGAGAGAGGAAGGTGTGGGAGAGGGGGGGTGGTTGCTGTCTTTGGTAGCGGCCACCATGGGCATGTACGACATGAACGTGGTATGTGTGGGGGGAGGGGAGGCGTGGGAGGGAGGGGGGGAGGGAGGGAGGAACAGCCGAGAGGGACGTAGGGGAGAGGGGGGTGTGAGAGAGGAAGGTTACTGCCTCTGGTGGCCGCCACCATGGGCATGTATGACATGAACGTGGTATTTGTGGGAGGGGTTGTGGTTAAGAAGGGGGGGAAGGTTGAGGAGAGGGAGAGAAGAGGGGGAGAGAGGGGAGGCCAGGTAGTTACTGCCTCTGGTGGCGGCCACCATGGGCAAGTATGACATGAACATGGTATGTAGCAGGGTGGGGCGTTGGAGGGGGGGTTACTGAGAGTGGGGTTGGGTGAGTGTGGAGTCTTGGAGAGGCAGCACGAGGCAGGGGAGGGGGCGGTCACTTTGCCTCTCTTGCTCTCCCTTCCCACTGGCTCTCTCACTCTCTGTCCATTGTGTGTGTCTCTTGTGTCTCCTCCACAGGTGCCAGCTATGGCAGCTGATTGCATAATGTGCAGGCAGGGGTGTGTCCATCCTCATCATTGGGTCTCTCTCTCCCTCTCTCTCTCACACTCACTCGCTGTCCCCTGTGTGTCACTCTCTCCCGTTCATCACCACAGGTGCCAGCAGACGCGGAGCTATGGCAGCTGATCGCATACTGTGCGGGCACGGGGGGGTCCATCCTCATCATTGGGTCGGCGGCTGGCGTGGCGTACATGGGCATGGAGAAGACGGACTTCTTCTGGTACCTGCGCAAGGTGAGAGAGGCAGGGGGGTTGCGGTGTTGTGCCATGGGATGCTGTGTGTAGAAGGGGGGGTGCCGTTCTGCTCTGCGCTCTGGTGTGGCATACATGGGCATGGAGAAGACATATTTCTTCTGGTACCTGCGCAAGGTGCGTGCTGGGAAGGGGGATAGAAGAGGGGGTCTAGGTTGCTGCATGAAGCATGATGCTGTGGTGCTGTGATGTGGCGTACATGGGCATGGAGAAGACGGACTTCTTCTGGTACCTGCGCAAGGTGAGCGCTGGGAAGGGGGGAGGGGGAGGGGGGGGAGGGGGAGGGGGGGTATGCTCTCATGAAGTGCTCTCGATTCTGATTCTGATTTCACTGCTTGTCCTGCTGGAGTGTAAAAAGGCCCCAAAAACAACCGACTCACTGCTTGTCATTGTGGCCATGTGTGTGTGTGTGCCTATCATGTGCTTGTATCACGTGCAGGTCAGCGGAGTGGCACTGGCAGGGTATGCAGCAGGCATGGCAACGTACCTTGCAGGAGGATACATTCCCTCAGACCTGTTTCCCACCACACTCGCCGCCCTGCCTCAGTTGCCCTTCTAACCTGCTGCCTCCGACTTATCGTATCATATAATTCTGGTGTACTGTCGTCTACCTTAGTCGCACATGTATCGCAATGGCCCATGAACACCATACCATAACATGGCGGTGGTAACATTGATGGTCCATGCTCCTGCAGTGTCAGCAGCAGTGTGTGTAACCTGGAATTCCTCCATTGAATTGAAGGCGCTCTGTTGGTTGAATGTACCGGTACGACTGACCTAGTTGAGCAACCACCACCACCACTACACTTACGGTAGCTGAACAGACAAACTACCATACTACCACTGCAGCTGTATTTTTGTTTTTTGTGCAGTAAAACATATCGTCCGCTCTGTGCACTGTAAGCAAGCAGCCGGTTCTCATCTGGCCTTCGTTCACATTATTCCAGGAGGATGAAACACTTCAGAACAGGTAACAGGAACCAAGGTGCAGGAGGAGATACTTGAAGGTGCAGCAGAGCAGACCTTTCAAGAAGCCTCTTCTCTGGATTCTGGGCTTCAACACATGGTGTGTAGGGTGCAGCACGAGGGGATGAAACCACCAAGTGGCAGTAACAGACACTAGTACAGGTACCCTACCGTACCGTACCTGAATGTTTAGGAATGAAGCCTCCAGGTGTTTCCATTGTTGCGCATCTGGTGGATGGTGGCTTCAGGTTACCCAATCATACCGGATGGCATCTCGTTTCGTTACCATACCAAGTAAAGGTAGGTAGGTTACCTCAAAAACCCAGTGGTACCGGTTGTTGCAAAGGAATACACAGGTTTTGCTAGAATTTCACCATATGTATTTTGCTGTAAGCATATGGGACGAGTCATAAAGAAGCATCAACGGGACTCCCAGACGGGGTAACAGAATTCTATCCAGTGAAATCACACTGCTGTCAGGCCGCCGGCGAAAACCGCTGTGAATCACTCTAAACCGCAGGCGGCAACAGACAACCTGTTTCAACCTCTGTCAACCGCTGTCAACCTAGGCGGAGCCTCCTGTAGCAGCAGCAGCAGCAGTCTGCGGCGCCGCCAGCGCCGCCAGACAGACTGGGCCATCTCCTCTAGAAAGCCAACTGCTGTCAACCTAGGCGGAACCTCCAGTGGCAGCAGTGGCCGTCTGTTGCTGCGGCGTCGCCATCGCCTCCTTGAGCTCTCCAGACTGGGCCATCTCCTCCAGAATGTCCGCACCCCCGATGAACTCCCCGTTCACGAATACCTGCGGGATGGTGGGCCATTGGCTGGGGGGACGCACATACGGAGAGAGGAGGTGGGAGGGGAGGTGGTAACGGGGAATTCATTGCATCTCCTCTGGAATGTCGGCTCTTCCCGATGAACTCCCCGTTCACAAATACCTGCGGGATGGTGGGCCATTGGCTGGGGGATGGGACGAGAGGAGGTGAGGGAGGGAAGGGTTATGCCCTCTCGAATACCTGAGTCGTTGTCCTGGCCCACCTTTGAGACGACTCAAATGTACTCCCCCACAAGACCCCCACAACATCGCACAGCACCCACCTGTACTCCTTGATGCCCTCGCGGATGCCCGGGTTGTGATCCTCGTCCAACACATTGAGTGTCTCAAAGTCCACCCGCGCCTCGTTCAGCAGCGTCAGCACCCGGTGCGAGAAGCCACACTGCGGGGATGTGCTGGTGTGGGGCGGGTGGGTGGGTGGGTGGGTGGGTGGGTGGGTGGGTGGGGAGACACGGAGGGGGGAAACGAAGAGAGGCAGCATGCGGACAAGAATCATTCAAGGTTACACCCGGTGCGAAAAGCCACACTGCGGCGCCGTGCTGATGGGTGGTGGGTGGGTGGGTGGGAGGGACAGACACCCAGAGGAGGGGTAAGGCGAGGCCACGTGCTTGGGATCGTCCAAGTGAATGCCTCATGCAAATCGGTAGTAGTTTGGAGTCACTTTTGACATTTTTTCACACGTGAGTACAAATAGGTCGATAGTTTGTTACACTTGGTGCAAGAAGCAGCATTGAGGCACCGTGCTGGGGGGTTGTGGTAGGATAAGTACATAGGCTGATGCAACAGCCGTGGGAGGGAGGGATGGGAGTGGATGGGAGTGGATGGGAGGGCGGGATGGCGGGGGGGTTGTGGACGGATACGGTAGGTTACAGCATGTGAGGGTTACAGGGAGAGGATGGGAGGAACGTACCGAGTGCCTTTGATGAATGCAACCACCCGGTTCTCCTTCACCAGCTTCTCAATCAGCTGCGATAAGGGGGGTGGAGGGACGGACGAGGGGAGGGCGAGGGACGGGCGAGGGGGAGGGCGAGAGACGGGCGAGGGGAGGGCGAGGGGGAGGGCGAGGGGAGGGCGAGGGGGAGGGCGAGGGGAGAGCGAGGGGGAGGGGAAGGGGGAGCAAGGGCGGAGAAAAGGTGCCCTTAAGTTTGACTCAAAGACCACCCGGTTCTCCTTCACCAGCTTCTCAATCAGCTGCCATGGTTTGAGGATAAGGGCGGGGGCAGAAAGGACGTGTCTTGTAGAGACATGAGACGAGGACATTCATGCGACAGGCCATTCAAAGATCATCAGACATGAGGACATTCATGCGACAGGCCATTCAAATATCATCAGACATGAGGACATTCATGCGATAGGCCATTCAAATATCATCAGACATGAGGACATTCATGCGACAGGCCATTCAAATATCATCAGACATGAGGACATTCATGCGACAGGCCATTCAAAGATCATCAGACATGAGGACATTCATGCGATAGGCCATTCAAAGATCATCAGACATTCATGCGACAGGCCATTCAAAGATCATCAGACATGAGGACATTCATGCGACAGGCCATTCAAAGATCATCAGACATGAGGACATTCATGCGACAGGCCATTCAAATATCATCAGACATGAGGACATTCATGCGACAGGCCATTCAAAGATCATCAGACATGAGGACATTCATGCGACAGGCCATTCAAAGATCATCAGACATGAGGACATTCATGCGACAGGCCATTCAAATATCATCAGACATGAGGACATTCATGCGACAGGCCATTCAAAGATCATCAGACATGAGGACATTCATGCGACAGGCCATTCAAAGATCATCAGACATGAGGACATTCATGCGACAGGCCATTCAAATATCATCAGACATGAGGACATTCATGCGACAGGCCATTCAAATATCATCAGACATGAGGACATTCATGCGATAGGCCATTCAAAGATCATCAGACATGAGGACATTCATGCGACAGGCCATTCAAATATCATCAGACATGAGGACATTCATGCGACAGGCCATTCAAATATCATCAGACATGAGGACATTCATGCGATAGGCCATTCAAAGATCATCAGACATGAGGACATTCATGCGACAGGCCATTCAAATATCATCAGACATGAGGACATTCATGCGATAGGCCATTCAAATATCATCAGACATGAGGACATTCATGCGACAGGCCATTCAAATATCATCAGACATGAGGACATTCATGCGACAGGCCATTCAAAGATCATCAGACATGAGGACATTCATGCGATAGGCCATTCAAAGATCATCAGACATGAGGACATTCATGCGACAGGCCATTCAAAGATCATCAGACATGAGGACATTCATGCGACAGGCCATTCAAATATCATCAGACATGAGGACATTCATGCGACAGGCCATTCAAAGATCATCAGACATGAGGACATTCATGCGACAGGCCATTCAAAGATCATCAGACATGAGGACATTCATGCGACAGGCCATTCAAATATCATCAGACATGAGGACATTCATGCGACAGGCCATTCAAAGATCATCAGACATGAGGACATTCATGCGACAGGCCATTCAAATATCATCAGACATGCGGACATTCATGCGACAGTCCATTCAAAGATCATCAGACATGAGGACATTCATGCGACAGGCCATTCAAATATCATCAGACATGAGGACATTCATGCGACAGGCCATTCAAAGATCATCAGACATGAGGACATTCATGCGACAGGCCATTCAAAGATCATCAGACATGAGGACATTCATGCGACAGGCCATTCAAAGATCATCAGACATGAGGACATTCATGCGACAGGCCATTCAAATATCATCAGACATGAGGACATTCATGCGACAGGCCATTCAAAGATCATCAGACATGAGGACATTCATGCGACAGGCCATTCAAAGATCATCAGACATGAGGACATTCATGCGACAGGACATTCAAATATCATCAGACATGAGGACATTCATGCGACAGGCCATTCAAATATCATCAGACATGAGGACATTCATGCGACAGGCCATTCAAATATCATCAGACATGAGGACATTCATGCGACAGGCCATTCAAAGATCATCAGACATGAGGACATTCATGCGACAGGCCATTCAAATATCATCAGACATGAGGACATTCATGCGACAGGCCATTCAAATATCATCAGACATGAGGACATTCATGCGATAGGCCATTCAAAGATCATCAGACATGAGGACATTCATGCGACAGGCCATTCAAAGATCATCAGACATGAGGACATTCATGCGACAGGCCATTCAAATATCATCAGACATGAGGACATTCATGCGACAGGCCATTCAAATATCATCAGACATGAGGACATTCATGCGACAGGCCATTCAAATATCATCAGACATGAGGACATTCATGCGATAGGCCATTCAAAGATCATCAGACATGAGGACATTCATGCGACAGGCCATTCAAAGATCATCAGACATGAGGACATTCATGCGACAGGCCATTCAAATATCATCAGACATGAGGACATTCATGCGATAGGCCATTCAAATCAAAGATCATCAGACATGAGGACATTCGTGCGACAGGCCATTCAAATATCATCAGACATGAGGACATTTATGCGATAGGCCATTCAAAGATCATGAGACATGAGGACATTCATGCGACAGGCCATTCAAATATCATCAGACATGAGGACATTCATGCGACAGGCCATTCAAATATCATCAGACATGAGGACATTCATGCGATAGGCCATTCAAAGATCATGAGACATGAGGACATTCATGCGACAGGCCATTCAAATATCATCAGACATGAGGACATTCATGCGACAGGCCATTCAAATATCATCAGACATGAGGACATTCATGCGATAGGCCATTCAAAGATCATCAGACATGAGGACATTCATGCGACAGGCCATTCAAATATCATCAGACATGAGGACATTCATGCGACAGGCCATTCAAAGATCATCAGACATGAGGACATTCGTGCGACAGGCCATTCAAATATCATCAGACATGAGGACATTCATGCGATAGGCCATTCAAAGATCATGAGACATGAGGACATTCATGCGACAGGCCATTCAAATATCATCAGACATGAGGACATTCATGCGACAGGCCATTCAAATATCATCAGACATGAGGACATTCATGCGATAGGCCATTCAAAGATCATCAGACATGAGGACATTCATGCGACAGGCCATTCAAATATCATCAGACATGAGGACATTCATGCGATAGGCCATTCAAATATCATCAGACATGAGGACATTCATGCGACAGGCCATTCAAAGATCATCAGACATGAGGACATTCATGCGACAGGCCATTCAAATATCATCAGACATGAGGACATTCATGCGACAGGCCATTCAAAGATCATCAGACATGAGGACATTCATGCGACAGGCCATTCAAAGATCATCAGACATGAGGACATTCATGCGACAGGCCATTCAAATATCATCAGACATGAGGACATTCATGCGACAGGCCATTCAAAGATCATCAGACATGAGGACATTCATGCGACAGGCCATTCAAAGATCATCAGACATGAGGACATTCATGCGACAGGACATTCAAATATCATCAGACATGAGGACATTCATGCGACAGGCCATTCAAATATCATCAGACATGAGGACATTCATGCGACAGGCCATTCAAATATCATCAGACATGAGGACATTCATGCGACAGGCCATTCAAAGATCATCAGACATGAGGACATTCATGCGACAGGCCATTCAAATATCATCAGACATGAGGACATTCATGCGACAGGCCATTCAAATATCATCAGACATGAGGACATTCATGCGATAGGCCATTCAAAGATCATCAGACATGAGGACATTCATGCGACAGGCCATTCAAATATAATCAGACATGAGGACATTCATGCGACAGGCCATTCAAATATCATCAGACATGAGGACATTCATGCGACAGGCCATTCAAAGATCATCAGACATGAGGACATTCATGCGACAGGACATTCAAATATCATCAGACATGAGGACATTCATGCGACAGGCCATTCAAATATCATCAGACATGAGGACATTCATGCGACAGGCCATTCAAATATCATCAGACATGAGGACATTCATGCGACAGGCCATTCAAAGATCATCAGACATGAGGACATTCATGCGATAGGCCATTCAAATATCATCAGACATGAGGACATTCATGCGACAGGCCATTCAAAGATCATCAGACATGAGGACATTCATGCGACAGGCCATTCAAAGATCATCAGACATGAGGACATTCGTGCGACAGGCCATTCAAATATCATCAGACATGAGGACATTCATGCGATAGGCCATTCAAAGATCATGAGACATGAGGACATTCATGCGACAGGCCATTCAAATATCATCAGACATGAGGACATTCATGCGACAGGCCATTCAAATATCATCAGACATGAGGACATTCATGCGATAGGCCATTCAAAGATCATCAGACATGAGGACATTCATGCGACAGGCCATTCAAAGATCATCAGACATGAGGACATTCATGCGATAGGCCATTCAAAGATCATCAGACATGAGGACATTCATGCGACAGGCCATTCAAAGATCATCAGACATGAGGACATTCATGCGACAGGCCATTCAAATATCATCAGACATGAGGACATTCATGCGATAGGCCATTCAAATATCATCAGACATGAGGACATTCATGCGACAGGCCATTCAAAGATCATCAGACATGAGGACATTCATGCGACAGGCCATTCAAAGATCATCAGACATGAGGACATTCGTGCGACAGGCCATTCAAATATCATCAGACATGAGGACATTCATGCGATAGGCCATTCAAAGATCATGAGACATGAGGACATTCATGCGACAGGCCATTCAAATATCATCAGACATGAGGACATTCATGCGACAGGCCATTCAAATATCATCAGACATGAGGACATTCATGCGATAGGCCATTCAAAGATCATCAGACATGAGGACATTCATGCGACAGGCCATTCAAATATCATCAGACATGAGGACATTCATGCGATAGGCCATTCAAATATCATCAGACATGAGGACATTCATGCGACAGGCCATTCAAAGATCATCAGACATGAGGACATTCATGCGACAGGCCATTCAAATATCATCAGACATGAGGACATTCATGCGACAGGCCATTCAAAGATCATCAGACATGAGGACATTCATGCGACAGGCCATTCAAAGATCATCAGACATGAGGACATTCATGCGACAGGCCATTCAAATATCATCAGACATGAGGACATTCATGCGACAGGCCATTCAAAGATCATCAGACATGAGGACATTCATGCGACAGGCCATTCAAAGATCATCAGACATGAGGACATTCATGCGACAGGACATTCAAATATCATCAGACATGAGGACATTCATGCGACAGGCCATTCAAATATCATCAGACATGAGGACATTCATGCGACAGGCCATTCAAATATCATCAGACATGAGGACATTCATGCGACAGGCCATTCAAAGATCATCAGACATGAGGACATTCATGCGACAGGCCATTCAAATATCATCAGACATGAGGACATTCATGCGACAGGCCATTCAAATATCATCAGACATGAGGACATTCATGCGATAGGCCATTCAAAGATCATCAGACATGAGGACATTCATGCGACAGGCCATTCAAATATCATCAGACATGAGGACATTCATGCGACAGGCCATTCAAATATCATCAGACATGAGGACATTCATGCGATAGGCCATTCAAATCAAAGATCATCAGACATGAGGACATTCGTGCGACAGGCCATTCAAATATCATCAGACATGAGGACATTCATGCGATAGGCCATTCAAATATCATCAGACATGAGGACCCCACCCACCACTGTGCTTTAAACGGCTGTGGTCATTGTACAATTCATGGATCAGGTTCTAATCGCCTGTGGTCCAGACAGCACCCACTGTTCCCGTCTCCCACTCCCCCTCCCCTCCCCTCCCCTCCCCTCCCCACCCCTCCCCACCCCTCGCCCAACCCTCCCCTCCCCCTCTCGCACCTCGCTGAGGGGAATGGTGAGCTTGACGTGGGGACCCGGCACGATACGCAGGTCGGGCTTGACGCGCTTCACACGGCGCGTGGTCCACGTGCTGTTGCCACTCTCGTTGCCGGGAGGCACCTTGCCCGTGCCTGCCACGTGCTCCTGCATCCACGCCTTCCACGCCTCCACCAGGGCCTCTTTGTTTGTCGCCGCTACCACCGCGAGCTGGGAAAGGAAGGGGGAGGAGGGCAGGAAGAGGGGGAGGTGGCTTCTCAGCCAGGTGGCACCTTGCCTGTACCCGCCACGTGCTCCTGCATCCACACCTTGCACGCCTCCACCAGGGCTTCCTTGTTTGTCGCCGCTACCACTGCGGGCTGCACGGGGGAGGGAGAAAAGGACGGAGGGGCGTTGGAAGAAAGGCCAGTCGGAGCTTTGACGCCATCCATTCCACGCCTTCCATGCCTTCCACGCCTCCATCAGGGCCTCCTTGTTTGTCGCCGCTACCACTGCGAGCTGCACGGGGGAGGGAAAAAGGATGGCGGGCGTTTGAAGAAAGGTTGGTCGGACCTTTGACGCCATCCATTCCACGCCTTCCAAGCCTCCACTAGTGCTGCCTTGTTGGTTGCCGCTACCACCGCGAGCTGCACGGGGGGGGGCAGAGGAGCGGGCAGGAAGAGGGAAGCGGAAGGACTATTGGGAGGGCGGAAGGCGGGGAAAGTGAGGGGGGGAGAGTGGAGAGGAAGGGGTGGAGGGGGACCGAACTGGGGGAAGCGGACACACTCGAATTACACATCATTGCTCCCACTTTCCCGTCAACCCCCACCACCCTCCCCACCCATCCTCCTGCCCCCCTGATCTCCCCCCATCTGACATTCCCCCCATCCCCCCATCCCCCTATCACCGCCATACCCCCACCCACCACCCCCATCCCCCTGCCCCCCCCCTTTCCTTGGCACCTTGACAGCGTCCTCCGCGCGCCCCCCCCATTCCCCACCTTGACAGCGCCGCACATCTCAGGCAGGTCCTCCGCGTGCGCCTGCATCAATCATTCCCCCCCACTCCGCCATTCCACCCCGCCAATCCCCCTGCCCCTCCCCCCCCCCTCCCCAATCACCTTGACAGCGCCGCACATCTCAGGCAGGTCCTCCGCGTGCGCCTGCAGGCTCGCCGCCAGCCGCCGCGACAGCCCCATGTACTGCAGCGCGCCTGGGGGGGAAAGGGGGGGGGGAAGGGGGGGGGGGGGGGAGAGGGGAGGGCGGGGGGGCGAGATTGAGCGGGGGGTAGGGGAGAAAGCGGGAGGTTTGCCGCCAGCCGCCGCGACAGCCCCATGTGCTGCAGCGCGCCTGGGGGGGAAAGGGGGTGGGGGAGGGAGAAGAGGGAGAAGAAGACGGGTGCGGGAAAGAGGGGAGGTTTGCCGCCAAAAACCGCGACAGACTTATGTACGCGTTGCAACGCGCGTGACGTGGGAGGGGGAAGTGGGAGGACGGCGACTCGGGATGTGGGTAATGTGCTACGGGTTGTTGTTGGCGGCACACGGAAACACGAACACAGAAACGGGCCACGTGGCAACGCGCGCGCATACATGTCCTTGGGCAACGTGGCAACGGACTGCGTTATTCTCTCTGCTCCTCCTGCCGGAGCGCGTGCATATACATCCCCCGCTCTCTCCCCCCGCCCCTTTCCCCTGCCCACGCCCCACATTTTCCCCGCCAGTCCCCTACATCCCCCATTCCCCCACCTTAGCCTACCCCCACCCCATCCATCCCCAGGCCCCCCATTTCCCCTCGCCCGTTTCCCCCGCGTGCCTTCTTTATCGTAGATCGCATAGACGCCGGAAGCTGCGGGGAAGGCGGCGACGGCACCGTCGCTGGTAAATACGGGCGTCGCAGGGGTGTTCTCCAGCGACGGCAGCGAGCACGTGGGCGACGTCGCCGGCGACGATCGCGTGCGACGAGCGACGCTTCGGGAGGAGCCTTGGACCCGGCGAGAGATCGCCGATCGCGAGGCGACGAACTCGGAGCGAAGGTGCGACGTCGCAAGGGTGGACGATACGGCAGACGGGCCGCATCGTGCTAGCGACACCCCGCATGCGACGACGGGCGAAGCATGCGACGGTCTGCAGGAGGTGGCCTGCGACGGACCAGCAAGGCAAGGGACAGTCGAGGCCGCCGCGAACACGGCTGAAGTTGCAGCAGCAGGAGCCATGATGGTCGTGGAAATGGTAATGTTTTTCCCAAAGATAAGATGAAGAATCTAGGTACGAGAGATATCTGAGGGACAGTGGTGGGAAGGAAGCGAGGGGAGGGGTTGGCAGTGGCAAGTTGTTGGTGGTTACGCGAATCGCCACAGCGAAGGACAAGTGTGGTTACCTTCGCTAACAAAGCTGAACAAATCTATGTCCGCTCGAGAAATTCAAAGCAAACAATCCAGAACAACTTTCTATAGATGTTGTAAGGAAAATTCCTTTTCCTTACTTCGCGCCCCTGCTTACCGCGTACATAACCGTTCCCGCCATCAGCACCCATCCATGCACGTTACCCATTCACGACACTCGCCTCGACCACGACTCCCGCCACTGTTCACGACGCAACCCAACCTAACGGTTCGGTTGGTAAACCGCGATCCGGACCTCCGCCTCGACAATTCTCCAAACCTCAGCGCTAGGCCCGTAGCGCACCTCAATTTCCCACTTTACCGTTACCACTGTAGTTTCGCTATATATTCTTCGCTCATGCCTTCGCTCATTGTACGCTTGCTTCGATAGTGCAATTCTCGCTCGTTCACTCAATTGCACTCGTAACACTTGGTATTCAGAGCCTACGATCTCTTCTCGGACCGCACCCACACCTTCGCTTCCCCACTATCTCAATTTTTTAGGGGGGGGTAAACGTCTCTCAGCGAACAAGCACCGCCGCTCGAGGTGCTCTCTCGAAAGCACGCACGGCCACGACCGAGGCTCTCGCTGAGCTTGCCCGACACCCCCGCCATGGCCGAATTTACTCTCGCGACACTAACGCAGGAGCAACTCGACCATCTCGTGCGCCAAGTCGAGGATTCGGCACTCGAAATTGCGACGCTCACGGCGGAAAGTGACTCCGCGCGTCAGCAATCCACGGTGAATACTCCAGCACCACCACACGCACCTGCCAATGTACCCGCACAATCGGAGGAGCCGATCGTCATTTCATCCGGCACACCAACACAGAACGACAGCGTGGGACAGCGCTCAGGCGCAGCCAGTGATGGCGCCGCTCACTCGATGCCTGGCATGGAAAGGAACAGGGTCGCACCAAGCCCGCGGGAGCCTCGTGAAGCCCGTCGGCACGTGGAATTTGCGGCAACAAGTGGCGACCACGCCAGCATGGCACCAATGCCACTCAAGCCGCAGCGCCCGCCTTGCTTCGACCCGAGCCAACGTGGAGGTCCGACGGTTCAATCGTGGGTCTTCACGATGAACGTTTTCTTCGACGCGAACTACGTCGAGTCGGACGCAGCGAATATCAGATACGCCGTCTCGCTGCTGAGGGGCCCCGCCATGGACTGGTGGCGAGTCATCGTGACGTCGCCACGCGCCTACGAGCCACCGTCGCAAGAGGAAGGGCCCACGGGCCCAGCTGTCACCTGGAGTTCATTCTGCGAAACCGCCCAATACAGCACGTGGGATGCGTGGTGCGCAGGGCTTCGGGCGCGCTTCGAGCCGATCGCGGCTTCTATTTCGGCGCGTCAGAAACTGCGCACTTGGCGGCAGCTCGGATCGGTCCAAGACTACACGAGCGGTTTTCTCGCATTATGCGAGCAAGTCGGCTATATGCACGAAGCGGAGCGGGTGGACCGTTACGTCGGAGGGCTGAAGCCGGACATCTCGCACGAAATCATGCTACGCGGACTCTCGAATTTCAACGAGATTCTCGCGCTCGCCGAGAAAATCGACATTTTACGCCGTCCGAGACCGGGGTCCTACTACGGACATCGCCCTCGGGGACCAATCGAGCACGCCACTGTACACGCTGTTGCGACGAACGCAGCTGCCGCGCCGTTTAAGGGGCGCTGCTTCGCTTGCAAAAGGCCGGGCCATCGTAAGAGTGAGTGCCCAGAGGAGCTGAGGCGCCGCGGAGCAGAGTAGGGGAGGGAGTCTCTAAGGCAGGGAAACGCTAGCAGTCAGTAGGAATCGGGCCAACTACTGACGAGACTGCCTGCTCGCCCAACCACACCGACCCTCACCGAGTCACAGTACCGATTCACGCTATCGATCGGGCTCGGATGAATAAGGAGGGTACAGCGACGGATTGCCCAGTACTGATTCACGAAAAAATACAGGGAGCAGCAGTGAAGATTTTTATCGACGGAGGCGCAAGTCACAGCTTAGTTAATACGCGACCGCACGAAAACTACAACTGACACTGAGTCGGTGTTTACCGGAGATAGACGCACGCTTAGTTGACGGTACACCACTGGCCATACGGGAAAAAGTGAGAGAGTAAAGGTCCGCTGCGGGGGGAACTTCGGTTTTACACAGGAAATGCTCGCGACGACACTGGATGGGCACGACATTTTACTGGGACGTGATTGGTTGCGACGGTATAACCCGCGAATTGACTGGACGACGGGTAGCTGCACTGTGCGAAGTAGCGGTAACTGGGTGTCGCTACCACGCTGGCAGTCGCCCGAGTCTTCAACGGTCCACGTCAACGCCATCACGATGAAACGGGCTGTCGCCGCAGGAGCTGACGTGTACGCAGTGGATATAGCATTGATAGGAGAAGCAGAGCAGCCGAGTGATTTTCAGAAACTGCTGACAGCGGTACCGCCCGAACTGCAGGAGCTATTGAAACGGTACCCGGGGATTTTTCCCGACGACTTACCGGAGGGACTGCCACCTCAGCGAGCACACGACCACCGCATAGAGTTAGAACCCGGGGCACAGCCAACCGTACAGCGCCAGTTCAGACTGACACATCCCGAGCTCGATGAGCTGAGGAAGCAGTTAGACTACCTGTTAGAGAAAAAAATCATCCGACCGAGCTCGTCACCGTTCGCCGCACCGATACTGTTCACACCGAAAAAAGACGGAGGGTTTCGAATGTGCATCGTTTACAGAGCACTGAACCGGGTAACAGTCAAGTCGCGATACCCCATTCCCCACGCTGACGAACTGATCGACCAGCTGCGAACAGCACGGGTTTTTTCGAAAATAGATTTACGGGGAGGTTACCATCAGATTCGGGTCGAACCATCAGACTGCGCCAAGACAGCATTTAGGATTAGGTACGGATCATTCGAGTACACCGTGATGCCATTCGGGTTGACCAATGCACCCGGCAACATTTCAGATGACCATGAACGAGGCGTTTAGGCCACTTTTAGATAAATGCGTGATAGTTTACCTCGACGACATCCTAGTCTACAGTCGTGATAAGCAACAACATTTAGCAGATCTGGAAGCAGTGTTGAAAGTTTTAGACGAGCACAGACTACTGACCAATGGTTCCAAGTGCGAGTTTTTTCAGGACAGGTTAGAATTTTTAGGACACGCTATTTCGGAGGCTGGGGTTGAAATCGACCCAAAGAAGCTGGACACGGTCAAAGCGTGGCACCCCCCGACAAATATCACGGAGCTGCAGAGTTTTTTAGGGTTCGTTAATTACGTGCATCGGTTCGTCCCCGACATGGCGCAATTAACAGCCCGACTGACGGATCTGCTGCGGAAGGGGGTCCCTTTTACGTGGGGGGAGAAAGAGCATGCTGCCTTCTCTGCCCTGAAAACTGTTCTCTGTTCACCACCCGTACTGCGCATCGCTGACCCACACCGCCCCTTCGAAGTCGTAACCGACGCAAGCGACATCGCCATTAGAGCCGTATGTGAGAATAATACGAGGAATGAAATGACTAGAAATGAGTTGGGTACAAATAGGGAAACCTAGAAATGTAGTACCCCCTATTGTCTAACCCACTATAGCCTAAACAGGCTATAACATAAGTTTGACACACCCCCATAGGCAAAGTGGGGGAGAACAAGAGGTCACAAGACCAGTCAAGAAAAGCAAAGCAAGCTCAGGGTGGATCTCAAGGATACCACACAAATTCCGAGCACAAGCAAGCGGTCACAAGACCAGTTCACATGCAGTTTGATATATAACAAGAGGTACAGTGATCACAACCTAGCAAGTGTAAGCATGCAGGTATATGTATAGAGATCACAGTACAAGCAGAGTCAAGAGGTAAGCAAGTGAGGCACAGTAGGCACAAGGCCTAGAACAGTACAGAAACACTGATGATCACAAGGCTGAAGCGCCTTGGTGAACACATCAGCAGTGTTGGCCCGAGTGGCCACGTAAGCAAGACGAAGCTGACCACGCTGCTGCAACTCTCGAGCAAGGAAGTAGCGCAGAGCGATGTGCTTCGTTCTGTGCTCCAGTCTGTGCTCCTGACACAAGGCAATCATGGCCTTGTTGTCGACGTACAGCACTAGAGGAGAACGAGGCGGCTCTCCCAGGTCAGTCAGCAGGTAGGTGAGCCAGCGTAACTCCTGTGCAGCCATGGCCCCAGCGTAGATCTCAGCCTCACAACTGGAGCTGAGAACAGAAGACGAGCGGGTAGACCGCCAAGAAACAGAGCCGGAGCCAAGCCTGAAGGTGTAACCCTGTGACGACCGCTGCGTAGTCAAGTCGTCAGCCCAAGAAGCGTCAGCGTGACCAGTGAGGACAACTCGAGTCCGCCCTCCAAGCACGAGCCCCATGCCCGACGTACTGCACAAGTAGAGCAACACCCTCTTAGCAGCATCCATGTGCTCCTTCCGGTGACGGCCAGGAGCGACATAGCGTGCTAGAATGCTAAGAGGGTAGGCTAGGTCAGGTCGAGTGCAGGTCATCAGGTACATGAGGCAGCCCACAAGCTCTGGATACGGGCCACTCGGCTCTACGGACTCGTCCGAAGGTGGAGCTGAGAGCGAGTGACCGGTAGGCAGAGGAGTGGACTGTGCGAGGAGTACGTGAAGCGGAAGCGCTGAAGGACCTGCTGCACCATGTGTGACTGAGTCAAGGTAATGGTGCGCTGTGCTCTGTCCCGGGTGATCCGCAAGCCAAGATAGCTTGTCAGCTCACCCAGGTCTGTGCACGTGTGTCTCTTCTGCAGCTTCGACTTCACGTGGGCGAGTGCCTCAGTGTCAGCAGTAGCAAAGACCAAGTCGTCTACGTACACGGCGGCAG